TACTGATAAGTTGGTAAAACTCTAGGTTATAGGTTGTAATGCATGGTATATCGCCCGTTTAATCAAAATGATAATAATAAAAACAGAAATATGTGCTGATTTAATTCTAAAATAAGAAAAATACATTTATATAATGAATGAGCAAATCACCCACTAGTTTATTTAAATCTTTAAAACATTTTTTTATTATATGTGCTGAACGTACACGTTTTAAAAATAAACTTATGATCTATGTCCGTCGCCATATTGTTTTAATTGTTGTTAGTGTTTACTTATATGTATATCTATTTTATTGTTCGATATTTGATGTAGTTTAACAAATTAACTATTTATATAAAACTGTCCACTATGTTTTAAAGCGCATGAATTGTTCAAGATTATTGTAAGCTTAAATATTTTTCAAAGCATTTAGATAAACACATTCGGCCTTGTTACAAAAAGTAGTTTTTTTATTAGCCAACAGGTTTTATCTACCTAATAATAACCTGTTTCGCGTATTTCGAATGAGGGCCAAAGAATCTTCCGAATAATTGAGAAGTGACGTTTCAAATCATCGATATATATGTACTACGCACTAGATATGGCATTCCGAACACTATGTTCAACTGAACTGTACTGCAATCCGTACACCCGTTACTGTGGCTTCGATATTCATGCAGTGCGGAGCGGCGCTAATAATAATTTTATATTGAATTAGCGCGTACGCAAAATATACGAAAATTAAAAAAAAATGTACTCGATTAACAATACAATCTAAATAAACAATTATTTATTATGACAATTTTCGTGCGTTTACATCAACTGCGAATGCGCGACTCTACTGTTTCTCTTCTTTTCTTTATTAACTGGCTTTACAGCTCTGGTTTCTAGACCTTCAGAGCCTATGCTTTCTTTTGGAATCTTCATTTTATGTTCTTTTTCTTCACAATATGCTGATGCGTCACATTGCGAAGCCCTTGGGAGATTTTGACGACAGTTCAACCCAGCGGACAGTTGATGACGACAGCCACTCAAGGTCATAAGGCGCCCAAGCGATCAAAATAACTTGAGGTTTATATTGACATCAAAGCACTTGTTTCGTCGTGTTCTCTAATAGTTCAATGCGCGGACACTTAATTCACAAAATCGGATCACTTTTACGAATCAAAATCCACTTCAAACCATTATTCAAGCGACAATTCGTCTACGGCCAAGTTCCCGCGAAAACTCCTCTACTGTTTCCCGCGCATGTGCGGATACAGAATAGTGCACATTTTTTGTTTGGAATAGCTTCTCTAGTACGTAGTACATCTAACTCAATGTTTTAAATAAAAGCTTATCGATTTATAGAGTATGTCAATACCCAAAACAATATCATAGTGACTTGCTCATTTTAAACGCTACATTTTTTTACTTCTAGAAATAAGGTACGTAAGGGTAAAATATGGTATAGCTTTACGCCCTATTAAACCAAAACGAGGGGGCGGACAGAGACAAATACACACAGTTGTATACTATAACTAAATTAAGAAAAAAATTGTAGACAAACTGGCAATAATTAGGAATAATTCAAAAATCAACCTAAAAACTAAGGACACTACACAATACTAAAATCGACTAAATTATTTACTATAATGTCAACTGTCAAAATGGCGTCGATAAAGCAGCGCCCTTTTGACTTTAAATATTTGATTGCCTAATGAAGAGCTACCCTATCACAGAGTCATCTCTGCAAACAAAGCTGTAGTTTTTGAGTTATAAGAGAGTGACCATATTACCCTCTCGTACTGTATACGTAGTTTGGTTTATTCATTTCTAATCTAATCGATATAAAATGTAACTAATGTTTCACAACGAAACATTAACCATTACATTTTCATAACTTAATAACTTCCCCCGCTAAGAAATCTGTCAAATAAGTAGCGCCGCATGATGGCAGATAAAGTCGTAGATCTCTCGCCCTCCAAGCGAAATAAATTATTGATTAAATTCGATAACAAATATCGAATTTCGCGAAGACTATGGTGCCGAGACTAAGGGATCTCTTTAATTAAGATTTTACTTAAACCATAGTTTAAACCTAAGACTATAAAAAACAACTTGTAATAACACGGATTTAGTTTTTGCCAAAGACGTTGTGATGCAACGTTTATAACTTTTCCAGTGTTGGGTTGTGTAGGTAATTAACCATAAAATAAATGCGGTGCAAACTAATGCAAGTTAGATATAGTTTTTGTAAAATTTGCACACGTGCTTACACTTATAAAAGATTTATTACTTAGTGTTGCTATTAATAAATATACAAAGACGTACGGACGGTTCTAGGCTTTTATATATATATATATATATATATATATATATATATATATATATAATATATATATATACAAATAAATTGTCCGTCCATTACTAGGCACAGTTTTTATTAATGTCAAAGTTAATATGTATGATCTATAATATCAGACAATATATTTGACGGCAGTTTAAAATGGACCGGTTGTGCAGAAATGATCTCACCCAAAAATTGTCCGAATAAATCTAGAAGCTCTCTATTCTTTTCAGTTTAAGAAGAAAAACTTCTGAAGAAAAACATGCCTAACATAATCATCAACATGATCGAAAAATTATCTTTCAAATTTGAATAACTTTTTATTAGGGTTGAATGAAACATTTCTTCGGAATACGGTCCAAATATATTATGTAATGTTCACAAAAGATATTTAATATTTCTACTAAGTTTTTAAATATATGTATATATTTAATGATCGATTTATAATAGAAATATGGTACAAAATTTTGCTGTCCGTACGTGAATGTTGTTCAACTATATACTACTTACCAGCAATAATAAAGTGATTTAAAAGTAAAATTCTTATCTTTATACGTCTCCCACTCATGGGTACAGGCCTCTGATATTTGTGAGCGTATTTTGAGGAAAACGAATTGACGCACATCCGAAAATATTTTTGTATTGTAAGTACACAGCTTGGTCCTTCGTATTATATAGCAGCGGGCAAACTATAAAAACTAATGAAATCAACTCTTAAGTCACCTGACTTAACTATGTCATTCCCATTATTTTTTATAGTTTTATATAACATTAAGGGTTATAGAATTATCTTGGCTAGCCTCGCTGAAATATTAACTATGTAGAGTTTTAAACAAATTCGTCTTGCTGATACTAAAGATATTTCTAACCTCAAAAGTTCGCCCAGTAATCTATAGTGGCGGTGATGAACGGAGATCATCAAAGGAGCAGTTACCAACTTGCATGGATTGGATTCACCATCGTATTTTCCTTCAAATTTAAGTAATTTATTCAACCCTTGACAAGTCCACTGCTGATATTAGACCTCTCCGAATGAATGCTATAAAATGCAGCTCTGATCCAACTCTTTGCATTTCTAACCAGGTTGTCTATCTAGAGGGAGGTCGCCCTCCACTTCGCCTACCCGGTACGAGGCTGCCACTCGAGAACCTTTCTTCCCCATTGGTTGTCGGTTCTTCGAGCTATATGGCCGGCCCATTGCCACTTCAGCTTACTTATTTCGTTAGGCTGTAAAATTGCAGATACCAACTGAATGCGTTTTACTAAAGTGTACGTCTAACAGTGGCCTTAATTTTGAATCGACAGAGATAATTCAGGTTCGGGCAAAAGGACTGTGCCGACATAATAAAACATTTTTTTCTCTATAAAAAAAACAACGAAAATTATGACGTCACTTTATTATTGCAGTATTATTTAGGAAGAAGCTTACGAAACGCCTCTAGTGCCTTCTTGAAAATGTCACTTTGACAGTGACAGCTGTCAATTGCGCTTTGTTACGATGTCGTGAAATTCAATGTGTAAAGAGATTAGCTTATGTACACTTATCCTGAAATAAATATAATGACTGTTGATATAATGTGCTTGTTTTTATTTAACACATTTAATTCATTTATTTATAAGTATCAAACGTCCTATATGTTCATTACGGCAGTTTTCAAAATATTTTTGCTTTTGGAAAGATGCTGATGTGTATCTCATGTCAGCTTTTTATATAAGAAGGGGCAAACGAGCATACGGCTCACCTGATGGTAAGTGACTACCGTCGCCCATGAACAGCTGCAACACCAGGGGAATTGCAGGTGTGGTGCCGGCTTTTTAGAAGAGTGGACTCCTTTCTTGAGGATCTTCCCTAAATCGGTATCGGTCCGGAAAAATCGCTGGTTGTAGTCGATTCCACAAAGAAGTTGTGCGAGGAAGAAAACTTGTAAATCGCACAGTGGACCGCCAATACAGATGGTGTGGATGGTATTATTGAGTTTTGTCACGATGTGTGATGTTGAAATTTATCGGCTGGAATCATTTCGAATAATACTTCTGGGCACTCCCAAGCTACGACTTACGACTGCCATGGGATGATATCTGACGGACCTCCGTGCTCAAATGCAGAAGGTGCTCCTGGATATCTTCCGCTGGTTTCTTCCCCTTTCCCCTCGGCCGTTTCGTCTCCCCTGGGTTCCGTGTTTATTTATCCGGCTTTATTTATTTATTTTACTATAATTAGTGTATGGTTAAATTTTATTTATTAGTATACATATGTGTTTATCACATAAATAGTCTGGTTTACTGATTATGTTAACGCTGTTAGCCTTTTGGCTTTTACAGCTTCATGGGTCTCAGGGCCCGCGGGCTGTAAAATTCTATCTTTCACTTGTTATCCCCAACAACTCTGGGACGCAATCGGATGCTCGAAACTGGTGCTGATAGTTCATCCGCTTCCGACGGCTGATTTTTAGAGCCCATTAAAGTAAATAACTGCTCCAAATTTGCTAAGGGGACATCGACTTTACTTTGTGCAATAATACAGTAAGGGCGCAATCTCCCTGGACTGAAATGTATCAAGAAAAAAAAGTCAAAATTTATTAAAACGTTTTATATTTTGATATAAATAAAAAACCATATTTACAAAAACCAATTTAACTTGCTAATTAAAGCTAACCCAACAAATAATGTTACAACAAAATCTGGTCCTCTCCTATTTCTCTTTCTCGCAGCATCTCTTCCCCTCTCGTCTGCCTTTCCCCGCTAGAGGGCGATCTTTCTCGTCCCACACCACGACACCGTCGCATGCACAAATACGTTTAGGATTTTGGAAGACGCCAGCAGATCGCGCTATGATACCGCAAGCCACTCTGTAATATTTGATGTTGATGACGTCAATTTTTGTTATAGAAGGGTGACAAACGAGCACACAATCCACCTGTTGGTAAGTTGATGCTGTGGCCCATAGACATCTACATTTATCTTCAATTAAAAATTAAAATGCGGATGCGTTGTCACACCTGAGGACTAAGATGGAATTCCTCGTTCCCAGGAAAAAGGGTCTCCGGTTCTCTACACTCACCATACGAAACACAGCAGCATTAAGCTTCTTTTTCATGCTGCTATTCTGTGAGAGCGTGCTCCTGCCCTGGCCAAGCCAGCCCATTTATGCTACAACCATAATAAAGCTACAGAATGACTCCACCACGTCTCTACCATCTGAAGGACCAAATCACAATGTCTCGTTTCCAATAAAAAGGATCTCTGTTTACGAGAATTAAGAACAGAGTACAATGAGATCTATCAATATGAAGACATAATTTTTTTAGGTTGGGCCGAGAAGACACTGATTCTACCATCATGCAGCACTGCCTTCTGTCTGCATTTAAATTTTTCCCGAGTGTAGTCAAGAACATGATTTAGGAGTACTAGAATTTTAAGTGAGAGGGAGAGGGGGCGATATCTGTTATTCGCAAAAGAATAATAATAATAATGTTTATTTAATGCAAACATACTTTACATAAAAACAAAAACTTATAAAATTACATTGACAAGACGTAATGTAACTACATACTATATTAAGGTATCTTTAGCAACCGTGCTAGGTCACAGACCTGTGTTACAGCTGCTAAGCCCTCCCCATTAAATACATACCAAATAGAAAAACAAAAACATAAAAACAATTTTACCGCAATCAAGAAATGAATAAAAGTGGGAAGAAGTAAAATAATTAGCTATGTGCTATGTTCTAATCCGACAAACGGCTCAATACTATTATAGCTAAATGTTTAGTTGTATGGTACAAGAGTAAGACAAGAGAGATATTCTATGAATGTGTCACACACTTATATTAGAATACACCGGGTCTCCCTTGACAAGCCCACAGCCCTTCACAAGTCTTTAGCAGTAGACTTTAGAAGAAAGTCCACAAAGCACGGTCCTGAGCCATCCGCACCCATCGACTTCCTGCATGTCTTACCCGGTCGTCACTCCATCTAGTGAGGGACCATCCTGCACTCCGCCTACCGGTACGAGGCTGCCACTCGAGAACCTTTCTTCCCAATCGTTGTCGGTTCTTCGAACTATATGGCCGGAAGATGATGGCTTAGTAAAGAGATTTTACTTACGAGGTCCCACTGTCGCCGTCAACTTTTGACTCAGGGTTTGGACCTTTGCCCAGATCATCCCGCTTCTCGGTCACCGCCACCGATCTGCCGATTATATCCCACACCTGCAATGAATACCAGTAGATGTATGCAGTACGTCAGAACCAGTGGCAAAGCTTCCATTAAAGCCGAACAGCCGGGCTTGCCTTATTAAACCTGAATCAATCAATAATATCAACTAATAAAATAACTCGTAAAATGTTTCAAGCTATTTCAAATTTCCCGCGCACTCCACTGTTCGACACATGTCGACCGATGACCTCGTATTGCCTTAGCGATACAGCTGCTGTCATAAAAAATGAGTTTTAATAGAGCTAATAGTTGTCTCCCTCGCTCGCGTGGGTTTTTTACGGGGCTTTCGAGAAGACGATCGCTCTCTTTCTAACCTATGGCAAAATATTCTATAATGAAATATAACTACGATTGTATATATAGCAATTAGTATAGAGATTTAAAGCCAGGCTTTTGGGAATAAATTTGTTAAAAGCGGAGGCGCGCGGGCAATACGTTGGCAAGTTCATTTCACGTTTCAATGTTTATTTACTCTGTGTGCTTATCTTAAGCGAGTTCAAAATTTATGCTTTTTTAAAGATTTTTAATGAAAATGGAGGATAATAGTGTTCCTTGTGATGAATTGAAGTGTATTAAAGTGATAATCGGAGAGGAAATCTTTAAACTTTGTTGAGATAATAGACAAGGTTAAGAGTGTAGACTTATCAATTATCGCAATTAAAAACAGTTATTGGTACAATTAAAACGTTCACCAACATTTTACGTGGACGTAATTAAATCTTTCCATAAGAAAGCGAGACGATTCCACTTATCTTATCTTATCTCTTATCCATTAAAATGTAAATAATTTTTTTTTAATTTTGTACATCGTTTGTTTGTACTTTGTTCGTGTATTGTATTGGATGTAAATATTTTTTTCTTTCGCCTAAACAAACCCAAACGGCTTTCTTCAAAGCCACCGAAGCTATGCAATTGCTGATGTGTAATACAAGCTATCTAGCAGTGGTATGCCTTCTGTGTGCTTTGTTAAACACGTCCTTGACAGCACTGAATATGAAATTGAAGCGTGGAGACAGATCAATATTGGTGTATTTTTATAAAACTGCTAAAAACAACAATATATATTTTTATCAATTTATATCTTGGGCTTACCCTAGCTTGGAGCTCTAGCTTCGCCACTGGTCAGACCACATAACATTTAATTCCAAGGTACACCCAAAAAATTTCTATGTGTTCTAGAACGGAAATTTAGAACAATATTTGTAGAATAAGTGGTTGCTGTGGCCCATAGACATCTCCACATCCTCGATTACGAATCAAAATGCAGATGCGTTGTCACCCGTGAGGACTAAGATGAAATTCCTCGTTTTCTGTAAAAAAAGGGTCTCCGGTTCTCTACACTCACCATACGAAACACAGCAGCATTGAGCTGGTATTTTACACTGGTATTCTGTGAGAGTGTGAATCTTCTCTGGTCAAGCCGACCCATTCGTGCTACAACTATACTAACTATACTACTAACATAATTACAGGATTTTTTTTATAGAAGAGGGGGCAAACGAGCATGCGGCTCACCTGATGTTAAGTGACTACCGCCGCCCATGATCAACCGCAACACCAGGGGAATTGCAGTCGCGTTGCCGGCCCCTTTAGAAAGGAGTAAGCTCTTTTCTTGAAGGTCCCCAGGTCGTATCGGTCCGGAAAAATCGCCGGTGGTAAACTATTCCACAGAGAGGTCGTACGCGGAAGAAAACTTCTTGTGAAACGTACAGTGGTGGACCGCCAAGCATCCAGATGGTGTGGATGGTATCGGGACGTTTGCCGCGTAGTGCGTTCATGAAATTTGGCGGCTGGGATTAATCAGAACAATTCCTCAGAGCATTCCCCGTGATAGATGCGATAAAATACGCATAGCATGGCTCTACCACGTTAATTGTCACAGCGTATGTTAGGAAATTGGTCTTTCACACGTTACCTTTAAAACATTATCAACTATCCTGAAAGTGGCCCTTCCGGTTTCGTCGGCTACAATATTCCCAAGATCGCCCGCATGTCGTTTATCCGGGGGATCATTCGGACCCCCGTGGACCGTATTCGAAGGGTTATAGTGAGCCCCGATGGAATCGCAACCCTGAAACCGAGAGGTATGTTTTATTAGTTTTATTCTAATTTACTTATTGATGGACAAATAGGAAATTAAAAGTTTATCACTGAATTTTTTCTAGGGATTGGGCAGAAGTACAATATTATGTAGCATCGTATAGAGCGCGTGTATGCGAGATTACAATTTATATAGTAATTACATTCTATGGTGATATCATCATCATCAGCCCCACACAAGTCCACTGATGAACGTAGGACTCCCACAACGAATAGCACAGAGTACGGTTCCGAGCGAACTACATTCATGGATGTCCGATGGTGTTAGAAATATAATACACTCGGGTCAAAAAAATCGCACATCCGAAAAAAATAATTTAAATACTATTTTAACACAACAGGCCAATGGCAATGTTATGGTTTGAGGGTATCATTCGAAAGGTTCGGAAATTTCATTAGCTTTCAGGAATTTTAATTGAATTTTACTTTTATAACGAGACGAAAGAGAATTTAAAGAAAAAGACAGGATATGTACAAATTTGCAAATTAATAATTTAAAAAAAAAACTTAATAAATACAAAAAAAGTTCTTAAAACCTAGTGTTACCCCCCCCCCTTGCCTTGATAACGGCTTCCATGCGATCTTTCATGGACCTTACAAGGGTCGCAACAGCCTCTTGGGGTGTTCGAGTACCGCATCTTGGAGCTCTTGAAGAGTGGTTGGAGCTGGATCTCGAGCTCGCACGCGCCGTTTTAGGTCATCCCAGAGATGTTCTATTGGGTTAAGGTCTGGACTTCGTGCTGGCCAATGCATAACAGGGATATCGACCTCCTATAAATAATCCCGTACAATAGCCGCGGTGTGGCATTGAGCATTATCATGCATTAACATGAATCCATCAACGACATAACCAGCATACGGGACCACATGTTCCTCCAGGATTTCAGTAATGTACCGACCAGCATTTAATGACCCTTGCCCACGGCCACCCCGAGTCCGGGAAACGCACACAAGTTCCGTTTTCCCGTCGACGGAAACGCCGCCCCAAAACATACACGAGCCACCCCCGTATTCGACGGATTCTTCGAAGCAGGGTTGTGTGAACCTCTCCCCCCTGTCTTCTGTAGACCCTTCTACGTCTGTCATTGCAGAAGAGACAGACCCTCGTCTCATCAGAGAAGAGTACGGTCCGCCATTGTTCTAGAGTCCATTCGCAATGATTGCGAGCAAACTCTAGGCGATCTCTGCGATGCTGTGCAGTAAGTTTTGGACCTTTAGCAGGTCTATGGGCTGTTAAACTCTTTTCGTGTATCCGTCTTCTTATCGTGGAAACACTCACAGATGTTCTCCGAGTTGATTGAAGCTGTTATTGCAACTCAACAGCATTTGTAAAACGGTTTCGTAAAGATGTCGTAACGATGAAACGGTCATCTCTTTCTGATGTGCACCGTTTTCTTACAGATCCCGGTTTTCTAACATAACCACCAGTCTGCTGAAAACGTTGGAACACCCGTCGAACTGAAAAACGGGACAGGTTCAACTGTCGAGCAACGTCACACTGCCGCATTCCCGACTGCAATAGGGCAATCACTTGAGCGGCTTCTTCAGAGCTGGTGTCCATCTTTACTTCTTCTTTGGTTACTTGTTCACGTGTGTTCACTGCAAAGTCTAAATTACGACTGACCCATATCTATTATCTTGATGTTAGTGCTGTTAGTCTATGCGACTCTTACAGTTTTATCTTGTCACAGGCCGGCCGCGAGCTAATTTGACCCATATTTCATCCAGATCGACCCTTTTATACCCTTTTTAGGTGGTGTAACTAGCGTCCTTACGAGCTAAGAGTCCTAACGAGCATTTGACAGTGTTTATTTTTGACGCTCTATAATGATAAATGTTTTAATGATTTCATGATTTGTTTATTAATAATGTAAAGCTATTCAAATACCCATTTCAAACATACCAATATTTATATAAATATAATTCGTTTCTAGCCATTACAGCCATTTTTCGCGCAAACTCAGAGAGGTGCGATTTTTGTGACGCTGAGTGTATTACACGAAAAAAATAGGGTGTAACATGTGAACGGAGTAGCCTGTATATCGAAACTCAAATCATATCCACCGTACTTTACGAACGGCAATAAAACAATAAATTTAGTAGGCATCTTTGACTTTGTCATTTCCCAGGGTCACAGGCTAAGGTGGATCCCCCCCGAACGGGTTCCCGCCTTGTCGTGGCGGGGGAGCTTAGTAGCCGTGGCTTGGTCTCCCACGGTGAACAAAGAGGAACCCACGTGGCTGGCCCGAGGTGAAGGGCCGGCCTGAGGTGGCCGCTCCGAGTGGGCCTGGGGAGCGCACTTCGGATGTGTGCTGGTGGACTGCAGCGAGTGGGGACTCCGCGCACCCTCTACCGCTGCAGCCGAGGTGGAGTCGCGGAGGAAGAGGAGTTTTGGTATGGCGATGCGCCACTCGCCCTATCCTTCGCGACTCAAACGGGGCCGCACCGTTGATGCGGTGGTGGTGGGGCTGCGGGGGAGAGGATTGTCGGTATTGCGAGGCGCCGCTGTCCCTACCCTCCGCAGCCGAATCTTGGTTGGCGGCGGAGCCATAGACCAGATCCGCCGCTGGGGTCGGGAAGGCTAGTACTTCTAAGTGCTCGTTTTTCCTGGCCCCATGGCATTTGTGCATCGGACGCGGGGGCGTCTGTTGCACAGACGTAGTTGGAGGCCGTGGAGGAAGGCGCGCCATGTGTTCTGGTGCGCCTTACCTGGGAAGGAGAACGGGGAGGAATTTTCCTCTCCCGAGGAGGTGCTGCCATGGGCGTTCCCGTAGCCCTGCCAATATGCGACAAAGGTGGAACACCATGGGGTTTTAGTCGGTGCGAGTCCGACGTAACCCGTCCTTGCCCCCCGCGAGGCGGGTATGCGTAGGCATTTCCCCATGCAAAAAAAAATGCTAGGGTGGATTTTAATTTATTTATTCGTTTAATTCAACATTTTATTTTTATTATTTGTACACATGTCACACCCTATTTTTTCCAGACGGTAAAATAGGTTATCCAGTGTAAATAAAATTGAATTGTCTGTTTATAATATTGAAATAATTCTATTCTCTTAGGTTTAGGAGGTTACAGTCTGTTTACTAGGATAATGTCAGTACACCCGGAGGCGCACTTATTATTTTGCTTTTATTTTAGTATCTTTTTTGTGTTTGTTAAATATTTTCCTATTCTAAGAATGAAATAGTATATTCTTATGGTTATTGTTTTAAAATACAAATACCTATAAATAATGTTGCGCGCTTTAATTAGCGCCTGGTATGTGGCGGCTGATTATTAGCGCCATCTGGTATCAAGCAGCAGAAATAGGAGCGTCATGATCTTTTTATAACTCTGGGAGGGTTAGCGCCATCTAGTATCGAATGGAAGAACTAAGCTTTATAGAAAGCTCCACACTCGAACTTTCTGCACCTGGTCGGTCGGGGGCCGGTATTTGCTGAAATATTCTGGATGTTTCGGTGGAAAAGGCCTATTTAAAGGCATTTACGGTCGCGATCGGGGCAGTATTGATTGGCGATAAAAGCGAAGCTTCGGAGCGAAATAAAGTGAACTAAAGTGATCAATGTGCTTCATTATAAGGATGTTTTAAATTTTAATTGGTGTTCGGCAATTGAAGTGTCAATTTTATTAATTCAATCGGCAGTTTTTATTGTCACGAACCCTAAGTTTGTAACAATAACAAACACAAGTTACATAGCAAAGACACTTTCACTACGGCGCTTCGTTTTAAAACGCCGAATTCTCGTGCGGGTGTACGACGCACGTTACGATCTTTAACGTCGCGGCGGCGTTTTTGACAAGATGCGGCACGTTTATAGGTACAAAGCAACCGTTGTCAATCAGCTGTTTATCCAACTACAGACGAAAAAGGATGGTTGTTTTTAATATGCGTGCGGATGGCTAAGCTGAATAGCTTTTTGCGATGGTGCTTAAAAACTACTTAACCGACTTAAAAATACCTTTTACCATTAGAATTCTATTACAACTGTGAAACGTAGGATGCATTTTATTACAGAGGGCGCTACTATCAACGAATATGTTTTTTAGCTAAACTCGTAAAGTATCCTATTTACACACTTTACCTACTCAGGTTGATAGTAATAGATATAGGTAATAAATCTAAAATAAAAGAGCTCCGCTTAAAAGAAACGAAACGTTCGTTTATACGAAAAAATAATTTATTAAAATAAAACTAAAAGTTGAAAAATGACCCAGTGTGAGTCGGACTCGCAAGCCCATAAAGAGTTCCGTAGTAATAAGCATAGATTCTACATTGAGTCAAAATACCACCATTCATCCATCTGGCGATAGTACCAGCAACAAATTACTTAGTTTTTCATAGTGTTTGTATAAATGATAAAGTTGTATTTGCGGTTCTTGAAAATATGCTACTTGTATCTTCAAAAAAATGGACAAATTTTTTTTTAAATAAAATATTAGTAATCCTATTAACTAACATTACTAATATTCCCTTTAACCACTCCTGGTAAGCTGAAAATGCTTGTGTTAGGAGTGGTTCACGACAGTAGTCGAATGGTGGATTCGAACCCGCGACCATTTGAGTTCGCGTTCCGCGCCCTGCCACTAGGCTACTGTCGTTTCAACATTATAGGGCTTTCTGTGGTTTATTCATTACCAAAGAGAAAAAGTTATTGCATAAAAAATGTTTTTATCCATTACAAGCCATCAAAAGCGGTTGTCAAGCGTTGAAAACGAACACAACCGTTTGTTACCGGCTCGGTTGAAATCGTTAACAACCGCCTTCACATCTACAGGCACGAGACACAAAGGCGACCATATTTAAGCGAACAGAATATACAAGAATACTTATTGAAAGTCATTAAGGTTTTACCTATTTTACATTATTAAGGTTTGTTCGGAAAAAAACCTGTCCTGGGAAGAACCTGTAAGATACCCAGACAATTTTTTTAAAAACAAGGAAGTTACTATATAACATAAAAAATTAAATGGTAACAATCACCTCATTACCAGGGATTATTAACAATCATGTACTCCTTTGTATAGTTTTTTTTTTTTCAAAGAAAAATAAAAAATAATACTTATTAAACATTTTTTGCTTATTTATTTTACAATTTAAAGTATATGTACAACAAGCGGTTTTATCACTCTGAAAATGACCCCTTTCAGGCTATTTGTGCGTAGAGAACTGATGTAAAGACTGGTTAAAGTAGAGGATGTACAAAAAAGATGTAAGTACATATAAATATAGATATGTCCATAAGATATCGAATATGATAAAGTATTTAAATGAGAAGAGTACGAAAAAGATAAAGTAATTTATCTAATAGCGTTCTAAGCTAAGTAATAAATGGCTTGAGAAAATGAAGAGTTTTAGCAAATTTCATCATCAATATCATCATCATCATCGTCAATACAGTCCTTCACAAGTCCACTGCAGAACATAGGCCTCCCTAAAGGAATTCCACAAAGCACGGTCCTGAGCCACTTGCATCCATCGACTTCCTCCATGTCTTACCTGGTCATCACTCAATCTAGTAGGAAGCCACCCTACATTTCACTTACCGGTACGAGGCTGCCACTCGAGAACCTTTCTTTCCCATCGGTTGTTGGTTCTTCGAGCTGTATGGCCGGACCATTGCCACTTCAGCTTACTTATCCGTTGGGCCATGTCGGTTACTCTGGTTCTACTGTGGATATCCTCATTTCTAAGTTTATCACGCAGAGAAACTCCTAGCATAGCCCCCTACATTGCTCGCTGAGCGACTTTAAACTCACTCATACGGTATACAGTGTTAACTGTACGAGGAAACGCACATTTGCTCAATTCAAATTTCAGAAATGACAAATTTTAGGAAACTAATATACTCGTATTCACTTTAAGCTCTCAATACATCATACGAAAATGTAATATATGTACACAAAGAGTTTTGTTTGCCGTGTAGTGGCGGGTGAGAATATCCACTACCCCATATCTTCCCGTGGGTGTCGTAAGAGGCGACAGAGGGAGACAGGCAGGAGATGGGCAGCAGCATCTTCCTAATAACAACTGTGACGTAATAAAAAACTGCGGTTGCCAACCCGCTCGCCAAGCGTGGCAACTATGGCAAATATCCCCCCATGAATAACAACGCAAACAGACGGCCCCCAGGCCCTGGCGGCCCCGCTATTCCTGGCTACGGTGGCGACCATGGTAACGACGGGGCAGGGGGTGCTAAGAATCTCCGGTGGAGGTTCGGTTGCCACCTACGACTACTCGACCTGGCAACATATAACGCACGCACCCTGAGGACTGACGAGAAGATACTGGAGCTGGAAGAAGAGGTAGACAAGTTGCGCTGGCATATTATTGGATTATCCGAGGTCCGAAGAGAGGGGGAGGACACGGCAATCCTCGAGTCCGGCAACTTGTTCTATCACCGGGAGGGCGACCATCTGTCCCAAGGAGGTGTCGGATTTATCGTCCTCAAGTCTCTCGTCAACAACGTTGTAAAGATTGGGAGTGTGTCGACGAGGGTCGCGTACCTAATACTCAGAATCACCAAACGGTATTCGCTGAAGGTCATTCAGGTTTACGCACCAACCTCGGCACATCCCGATGAGGAGGTGGAGAAAATGTATGAGGATATTTCCAGAGCCATACATTCCTCCAAAACCCACTACACGGTGTTGATGGGAGACTTCAACGCAAAACTAGGCACAAGAGAAAGCGGTGAGCTGAAGGTAGGGAAATTTGGAGTAGGGCAAAGGAACAGAAGGGGCCAGCAGCTGGCTGACTTTATGGAGAAAAAGGGACTCTTTATGATGAACTCTTTCTTCCAGAAGCGGCCCCACAGGAAGTGGACCTGGTCGAGCCCCGACGCTCGACAAAAAATGAGATTGACTTAATTATGACGACCAGACGCCAACTGTTCAGTGATGTCTCAGTGATCGCAAGGGTGAAAACTGGCAGCGATCACCGAATGGTTAGAGGCACACTGAACCTAAACGTTAAGTTGGAGAGTTCTCGTCTAATGAAGTCAACGCTCCGTCCCCCCTCGTGCTCTAATCCAGAATCCCGAAACTTTTCAGCTAGAGTTTCGTAACCGCTTTCAGTGCCTAGAAGATTGCAATGCAGTGGACGATATGAATGACAAGCTCGTGGAAACTGTCCATGCGGTCGGAGCTAAGTTAAGTTCTCCGATCACACTCTTAATCTCATGGCTATTAGACGGGAGATGAGGCTGCAATCGTCAACAGATTTGACAGCATACAGGCAACTGAACAGACAGATCTCCAAATGCGTGCGGCGAGACTTACGCAACTTTAATACTTCTCGTATTAAAGAAGCGATCGAGCGGAACCAGGGCTCCAAAGTCTTTGCCAGAGATCTGTCTGCCAGAAAGAGCCAACTGTCAAAGCTGAAGACTGAGTACGGCAACATCGTTTCCGGGACACCTGAGAATCTGAGTCAGATTGAGAGGTTCTATGGGCAGCCGTACACATCATTGTTGGAGCCACACTCAAGTGTGAGTAACGATCCAAGAGCAAGTCTTATCCGACACTATTCCGATGATATCCCGGACGTCAGTCTGAGCGAGATTAGAATGGCTCTCCACCACCTTAAAAACGGCAAGGCCCCGGGCGAGGATGGAATTACAGCGGAGCTTCTGAAAGCGGGTGGAACACCGGTACTTGAAGTCCTTCAGAAGCTCTTCAATTCCGTCCTCCATGGCGGCACTACTCCGGAGGCGTGGATCAGAAGCGCGGTGGTTTTGTTCTTTAAGAAAGGCGACAACGCTCTCTTAAAGAACTACAGACCGATTTCCCTTCTGAGCCGCGTCTACATGCTATTTTCGAGAGTCATTACGAATCGTCTCGCACGCAGACTCGACGACTTCCAGCCTCCCGAACAAGCCGGTTTCCGAAAAGGCTTCAGTACCATAGACCACATACATACCCTGCGGCAGATTGTACAGAAGACCGAAAAGTACAATCTGCCACTTTTCCTGGCGTATGTGGACTATGAGAAAGCCTTTGATTCCGTCGAAATTTGGGCGGTGCTACAGTCCCTTCAGCGGTGCCAAGTTGACTGTCGGTATATCGAAGTGCTGAAGTGTTTGTACAGTAGGGCTACGATGGCTATCCGAGTACAGAACCAGAGTTCGAAACCTATCCAACTGCAGAGAGGTGTAAGACAGGGTGATGTTATATCCCCGAAACTCTTCACCGCTGCGTTGGAAGACGTTTTCAAGCTACTGGACTGGAAAGGATACGGTATTAACATCAATGGCGAGTACATCACTTACCTTCGATTTGCCGACGATATAGTCCTTATGGCAGAATCGCTGGAGGACCTTAGCACTATGATCAATGACCTCAATGGTGTCTCCCAACGCATAGGTCTTGGGATGAACATGGACAAAACAAAGATTATGTTTAATGTCCATGTCATACCTATGCCGGTAGTTGTTGGGAGCACTATGCTCGAAGTTGTTGACGAGTACGTTTACCTGGGAAAAATAGTCCGACTAGGTAAGTCCAACTTCGACCGAGAGGTCAATCGACGGATTCAACTCGGCTGGGCAGCGTTCGGGAAATTACGACATATCTTCTCGTCAGGTATACCTCAATCTCTGAAAACTAAAGTGTATAACCAGTGCGTGTTGCCAGTGATGACTTACGGATCTGAGACGTAGTCCTTCACTGCTGGCCTTATGAGGACGCTCAAGGTCGCTCAGCGAGCTATGAAGAGGGCTATGCTCGGAGTTTCTCTGCGTGATAGGCTCAGAAATGAGGATATCCGCAGTAAAACCAGAGTGACCGACATAGCCCAACGGATTAATAAGCTGAAGTGGCAATGGGCCGGCCATATAGCTCGAAGAACCGATAACCGATGGGGAAGAAAGGTTCTCGAGTGGCAGCCTCGTACCGGTAGGCGTAGTGTAGGGCGACCCCCACTAGATGGAGTGACGACCTGGTAAGACATGCAGGAAGTCGATGGATGCAGGTGGCTCAGGACCGTGCTTTGTGGCGTTACTTGGGGGAGACTTATGTTCAGCAGTGGACTTGTGAAGGGCTGTAATGATGATGATGATGATGATGTACACAAAGATAAAATTAGTTTTAAAAAATAATTAATGTTGATTCGATAAATACTAGGAACAGACACAAGCTAGTAGTACCAGTTACTCGACTCCACCGAGTCAGTAATTCTTTCTTGGGGCGATGTATACGCTTTTACAACAAAATCCCAGAAAATATAAAAAAAATTACCTCCTCAAAGACAAAAAACTTTATTAAACGAATGGCCAGACAAAGTCTCATGCTGTCGCGGTCACATTGACTATAAAGTGATAGAGACAGTACGATATTTAACGACATTTTAAAATAGAACAGCGTTTGCATATTTGGGCAAAAGTTTATATAATATTAAGGAATTTATGGATGATAATAACCCCTGGGAATGAGGTGATCTCTACCAAGCTTTTTCTAATTTGTTTTGTGTTGTTAATTGCGTAACACTCATATTGTAAACTGTTACTTTTCTGGTCCTTCCCAGGACAGAGGTTTTTTCCGAACCAGTGATAAATTAATCATAAGAGTATTTAAGTACTATTTAATATTTATAATCTATATTCAATGAAGTTTCTGTTTCTTTTTCAAACTTTTAGATAAATTATGCATAATATATTTTTATATACGACTTAAAGTCATACATGGCTGTACAACTCACCTGACTCAAATCTCCAACTTCATGCACATGCAACCCATGGAGACCAGTAGAGAGACCGTCAATGCATCCATCAGCCACTAGCGGACCCTCAGCAGTCTGCTGGAACCTGATCACTCCCATAACACTATTTCTGCAGCATGATTGGCTGGATATCATCGAAACTGCCGACTGTGTTTCTAAAAGATCATAAATTTCGTTTAAAAAAAGATAAAACTAACCTAAATATTTTTTTTAAATAATAGAGCCATGCTGAAGCTCTCACAGAATACAAAACGTGAACTAGCGGCATAATGCTGCTGTGTTTCGTATGGTCAATGTAGAGAATCGGAGACCCTTTTTATTGGAAACAAGACATATTTGTCATCAGGCATGACAACGCATCTGCGTTTTGATTCTTAATCGAGGATAGCTATAGACGTCTATGGGCCTTAGCAGTCAGGTGGTTTTTCCATAGAATACTATAATACACAATAGAATGGCTGTCAAACTTATTTTGTTCGAGATTCCGCGTCGCCGGGAGCACACATACAAGCAATTACGTCGTATTATCACTACTACACTGACAGAGCAGAGTAAATTTACACATTTTGGACGTTTGATTAATGTTCAAAATCATCATTAAAAAAAAATCGTTTATATTTTAATACATATTATTTATAAGTAGTGTGCAATTTGGTATTTTCAATAATTTGCATTCGAAATTTGGAAACGATTGTAACGTCAAAACACATCTCGTGTTGACAGCTATACGTATGAATTGACATTTTAGTGGACCCCACCCACTCCCCCGTTCTATTATGTATGCATTATAGTATTCTATGGGTTTTTCATGTTTGTCACGCATATTCTATAAAAAACCTCTTTGAAAAAATTAACAACATTAATAATCACTCATATCAAGAAAAACGTCCAACAGTGGACATTTACAGACTAATATAGAAGAAAATCCTGTGTTTCCATAAGATTCCCATTTCGTCCTAAGGGTGGTGAGAGGCAACCATGAAAAATGTCAGATAGATCTTAAAGCTTCCAGTAAATGGCGTTATAACTAGTGTTGCCAGGTATCCCGATTTGTGCGGGACGACCCGTTTTTCAGGGATCTGGTGACACGTCCCGATTCACCCTTGATCGGGACGCCAAATGTCCCGATTTTTCACTAACCTTCTAAGTTCGTACTTTGATCAATAATTTTCGTCGTCAATTCGACGATAAGTTATTATTTCATTATTTTACTAGTAAGTAGTACAGTACCTAACTTATACGTAGGAGTTAAGTTTATTGAAATACAAACGTCTTGTGAGTTAGTTCTACGGTAGAACTTACCCCACAAGGCGTTTGTATTTCATAAAAAAATTGACTAGTGGTAAAAATTCTACCATAAGTAATTTTTTCAAGCGGTTGTGTTGTTTGTCGTCATTGTCTCAATAAATATATATATACAAATGACATTATGCGTACGATGCAAGGATTTTTGTCTACGCGATCGAGGATAACTCATGACTGCCAAACAGGCTACAAAAACAGTGGTTTTTTGTAGCCACTGTAGCTGTCCCGATTTGAACACCAAACTCCCGATTGTTTTAACCTTCCGTCCCGAAAGTTGACACACTGGACCTGGCAACACTAGTTATAACCCTACACTTGGCAACTATGAGAGTGAGAGGATAGAGACCTGTGCTTGCACACACTCGTGCACTGTAACCTTGTCCTGTGCAGATGGCTACTCACTGTTAAGACTGGCCACCGTCACCGTGTTCCACACATTATTATTGTCTTATTTCTGTACATGTTTAAAATTTTAGGCTATTACTGCTACAGCCACAGACCGCTTCTGAACATGTGGTAGAGCCATGTTGCAGCTATATTACCTATGGTTGTAGCCCGAATAGATAGGCTCGACCGGGGAAGGATCACGCTCTCACATTCTGTGAGTGCGTGAGTGTAGAGATCCGGAGACTTTTTTACTGGAAACGAGGCATTTAATCTTAATACTCAGGGGTGACAACGCATCTGCGTTATGATCCTTAATCGAGGATAGACGTAGATGTCTATGGGCCACAGTATTCACTTATACCATCAGGTGAACTGTGTGCTCCTTTGTCACCCTTATTATATAAAAAGTGCACGAGAGAGAGAGAGAAAGAGAGAGGAGAGAGAGAGAGAAAGAGAGAGAGAGAGAGAAAGAGAGAGAGAAAGAGAGAGAGATAAAAAGAGAGAGAGAGAAAGAAAAAGAAAGAGTGAGAGAGAGAGAAAAAGAGAGAGAGAGAGAGAGAGAGAAAAAGAGAGAGTGAGAGAAAGAGAGAAAAAGAGAGAGAGAGAGAGAGAGAGATTCAAAAGATATAACCATCTTATTTACGCCAGACAGACATAAAATACCCAGACCGGCGACCGACAGCAGCGTCAAAGGTGCTCACGTCTGATATGGCAATTTCTCAATTAGAAGCCTATAGTGAACTGTTACAATTTACTTAGTGTATCATATTGCGGACCAATCCAGAAACATTGCTTAGTAGTAAACACATTTGAATGGTCTTGAATCGAAAATGCGTCACTGTTTTGTAGTCACTGTTTGCGAACACAGTAGAGGTTTACATAATCGGGATCAGTCAGTCGAGACTTAACCTGTGTGCCTGCACAATGCACACAGGTGCGAAAGGGTCGTTTATTCTTTAATAAGCGTTGTTTGCGAGGTTGTTTTCTGAGGATTAATGACCGATTGATTTTTATTTGCTTAGACTTCAATAAGTGAGTGTTAACGTTTTTTTTTTCTTCAGAACGTTAGGTATTGGATGTTGTTTTATTTGGAGCGCTTATTTTTTGTGAATTTGCTGGCTCACGCATAGACTCACTTATTTAAATGAAAGTCAAATATTCCACGCAAAAGTATATTAGTAAGGATCACTGACTACTGTACGAAAAGTCCGAACTAATACATTTCAGTGACCTTACAGTGTTTAAGCAAGAACAAGACTGTCCACGTGTAGATTTTTACATGCTAATGAAGAAAAGAAGGAACAACTATCACCTCCAAATCCTTGCAATACTGCCCTTTTCCCCGACGCCCGTGAGACCATATCTAGTACAACTGTACTGGGCAGTGTTGTCTCCACCACGATAGCTCCATCTTTGAACACTGCCTACAAAATAAATAAACATAAACATAACTCAAGCCTGTCACCCAGAGGGTAGGCAGAGATTACATACTTCCATTTGGCACGATCCTGACACACCCGCCTACCTGCTCGTCGGTTAAGGGTACTCCTAATTTGGCCCATTGTCAATATATCGCCAATTTGGTCGAAACTTTCGCCTAGGACGTTCCTTTCTAACTCTTCCATTCACTTCTGCAACATATATTTGCTTTGTCACTCTTTCCTCATTCGTTCTTTCTACATGACCAAACCACCGAAGCATTCCTTTCTCAATCCTGGTCACAACATCATCTAGCAAACCACACTTTTCTCTTATCACACAATTTCTCGTCCTGTCAAATATGTATTTAAAAATCATTTTTCCATTGCAGCCTATTAAAGTCCACTGCTGGACCTGGACCTACCCCCATAGATTGTCTCATAGGGAGAATGGCCCACAGATTTACCATAGTTACCATGTTTGACAGGCAGATAGGCAACCGCAGTACCTATTTTGTTTTATAGTATTTTTAACAGAATAACCCTTATTAGACAAACGAACACACAGTCCACCTGATGGTAAGTGGATGCTGTGGCCCATAGACATCTACATTTATCCTCGATTAAGAATCAAAATGCAGATGCGTTGTTACCCCTGAGGACTAAGATGGAATGCCTCATTTTCAGTAAAAAAAGGTCTCCGGATCTCTACACTCACCATAAGAAACACAGCAGTATTAGGCTGCTATTTTACGCTGGTATTCTGTGAGAGCGTGGTCCTTCCCCAGTCGAGCCGACCCATTCGTGATACAACCATATTATAACTGCAGCGTGGCTCTACCACGTATAAATTTATATAGTTTTTATTACAACGACTCTGCTGCCCATCTCCTGATTTGTTTTCCTTTATAGCCTCCTACTACACCCATGGGACGATATAGCGTAATGGATGAGTTTTAAAATATTTAGAAAGAAGAAGAGAAAAGAAGTGTTCTGTGTTAATTTCTCTAATATCTAGTGACATTATTAGGAGAGAATTACAGTATCATATTTAGCACCTGCAAGAGCAGGGTTCTCAATAAAACAATTTGCATCAGCTGCACTTTTAGATTCCACTGAAATTCTATTGCACCCTATTCACTTAACACCATCACTAACAACATTTTTAATATTATTATGGTAGAGAAAATGACCAAACTTTATCAGTTTTAAAACTACTCCGGATGATAAATCATCTACTATCTTACTAACATGTACAATAAAGGGCCCACTGTGACTGATGAATATAAGAGGACTGAATAGATGGTACAGGTTGAGATGGATCTGTAATTAATCTTTTCTGAGTATGTTCTGAATCATTGGATACTTGTGGTCTTGTACGATTCGATAGTTCGATTTCAATCGGTATATTTTTTTTTTGGGAATAGTATGGGTGGCACATGGAACTCCGTCGAGATCGGGAGGATCTTTTTTTTTTAAAAAAAACACAATTACTAAATACTTACGGATTTATAATTACTAAAACGAACACCAACACAAAGAATAATATACTCAATATATAATAATAATCTTAGGAATACGAAATAGCCGAAAAAATTGTTCGGTACAAGTGTGATTGTGTAGGAATGTTGTAAGAATACCCACAACCTCACATCGTCCCATAGGAGTCATAAGAGGTCACTGGGGGAAACCAACCAAGAGATAGGCACCAGATCAGGAAAAAAACTGTACTATTGGACAATGGGAGGTAGTGTATTATAATAAATTTACACACTAATACATAAATAAAGTAAACCGATACATAATAACAAAATATTTAATACACTAATATATACAATAAAAAATATGATAGACATACATAATATTATATAGGCAAATATAAATCGTTTTCGGAACAAAGGGTTTCCTAACATTGACTGGAATCTTTATCCTGGAATTATGTCTATTTGTTAAAAACAATATGCAATATTTTAATTTGAAATCTGATTCAAAGAAAAACATTTGCAATCAATATAAATATAAGCTTACATATTATTAAAAATATGATGATTTACTATAAAGACTACTACTAAGATAACATTGTACACAGTTATGCAATAAATCTATCTTTATCTTTATCTAAATATACATAAAATTTACATAAATAAATACAGTCAGGATACAAAAATTAAATGTCGCAAATGATGACCAGTGATTACTGCAGTTAGGTAGTGATTTTTGGGCAAACCTATTCCCTTTTAGATTTTCCCTATTAGACAATCGAAGGAACAGGCCTATGTTCAGTTGTGGACATTTGATAGACTAACAGTAATTTCATGCATAGCGACCATGTATTTTTTTTCTATAGGATAGAGTGACAATCGAGCACACAGTCCACCTGATTGTAAGTGGTTGTTGCGGCCCATAGACATCTACATCTATCCTTGATTACTATTCAAAATGCAGATGTGTTGTCACCCGTGAGGACTAAGATAGAATGCCTCATTTCCAGTAAAAAGGGTCTCCGGTGCTCCACGCTCACCATACGGAATACAGCGGCATTAAACTGCTATTTTACACTGATATTCTGTGAGAGCGTGGTCCTTCCCCGGTCGAGCTGACCCATTCATGCTACAACTATACTACTAATATTACTGCAGCATGGCTCTACCATGTATAAAGTATAATGTATAAATGAATATATAAATGTAAAACCATGTAAGGGTAAACCATATTAATGTATACCATATAAATGTATACCACATAAATATAAATAATAAACTTTTACAGGTAGTTGTAGAGAACACTATGCTCGAAGTTGTTGATATTGTTTTATCTTATTATATAAGTGACAAACTAGCCCAAAACACACCTAATGGTAGGTGTATGCTAATTCCCCCATTTCTTCCTGTGGGTGTCATAGGATAATAAGGGGAGATGCCATCATTGCATCAAAGGTGCTCATGTCTGGCACTTGCATTGCCATTCCATTTACCAATGGTTATGATTAAGCCTAATCCTCCAGAAGTTAATATCCAGCCATGGACTTTATCAATAGAAAAGAGTAATTATTTAAAATTTAATTTTCTTACCTCTTTAACACCATCCTGTGACTTTAACTCATTCAAAGTTTTATCTAATAGCGGCCCATCCACCTTTGATCCAAATTCCACCAGAACCTCAAGCTACAAAAAAAGAAAACATGATATTGAATTGAAGTTTGCTCATATATTGATATTTACTACGATCATGGAATAAATTATAGTACAAACTAATATAGAGAAGTTCCAATACCCTATAGAATTCTTTAAACGCGTCCATTTCGTGTACGTGTTTGTGACTGTACCAGTCCGGCCAGTTTAGTTGCTCAGGAGAGCACTGAACGCTACAAACTGACGATCCGTAATGCGTATCGTCAGGACCGATGGTACACACCGACGGTCGGTCGGGCTCTAAATCCGGCCTTAGACAGTGCATGTATTCTGAATTGCACCTTACAGACATAGGTATGTATTACATTGTGTTGCATTTTATTCAGAACCTACCTATGTTACAGCTCGAGCAAAACAAACAAACAATCCTCGTTGTTTAGAATTATTTAAAAATTATTTGAAAACTGACATAATATCTACAACTGTTTAGCTTAAGTGTTTGTTATATTTTTTGCTATCTGTGAAGTACTAATTATAAAATGTTAGCATTGCAAGAAATGAGAAATGGCAAAAAATCTAAATGCAACAAATAGTTTACTTGGTGGTAGGATTTTTTTATATAATAAGGGTGTCAAACAAGCACACAGTCCACCTGATGCTGTGGCCCTTAGACATCCAGATTTAATGTGGATGCGTTGTCACCCCTGAAGACTAAGATGGAATGCTTCATTTCCAGGAAAAAGGGTCTCCAGTTCTCTACACTCACCATACGAAACACAGCAGCATTGAGCTGCTATTTTACGCTGGTATTCTGTGAGAATGGGGTCCTTTCCCGGTCGAGTGGACCCATTGGTGCTACTACCAATAATATAGCTGCAGCATGGCTCTACCATGTATAAAAGAAAAGAATCTTAGAAAAGTCAGAAAATAAAGAAGTTCTATAACCTAGACTTCTTTTCTGCACCTAGAAGTTTCTGCACCTAGTTTTTAACAGTGGTAGAGCCACGCGGCAGCTTTGCTGTTGCACGTATGGGCCGGCTCAAACCGGGGTGGTACCACGACCTCATAGAATACCGGCGTGAAGTGGAAGCTCTGCTTCCGCGTTTCGTCTGGTGAGTGCAGGTGGCCGGAGGCCCAAATCCCCCCCCCCCATCAACATGGTAGCGGAATTAAATAATGATCGACTACCCCAGGAGGGTACCAGCACCCCTGGAGAATCCCTCGCTGAGCATCCACGACCATGTTTCTCCACTTCTGAGTGTGGGTGCTCAGGCTGCCCCGCGTATTCTGGGGGGGGGCGAAATTCCGCTCAAGACTACAACTGCTCGGGGCAAACGGAGCAACAAGACCAAGGCGACCCCTGCCACGCTGTCCGTGAATTTCTGCAATATCAGGGGACTTCACTCTAACCTAAACGCTGTCCACTACCATCTCGAGACGGCGAGGCCGGCTCTGCTCTTTCTGACCGAGACGCAGGTGTCCTCTCCGGCTGATGTCTCGTATCTCTCCTACCCGGGGTACAAACTGGAACACTCCTTTGTGCCTCGGGCTGGAGTTTGCGTTTACGTCAGAGAGGACATCTGCTCTCGACGCCTCGGCAGACTTGAAGGTTCGGACCTGTCTATCCTTTGGCTACGCGTAGACAGCGACGACCATCCGCGCGTCTACGGGTGCCTCTATAGGTCCCATAGCGGTAATGCCGAAACAGACCGACTATTCGACCACGTCCAAATGGCTGCAGATTCGTTGCTACAGCAGATCCCCTCCGCAGAGATCGTGATCCTCGGCGACTTTAACGCCCATCACGCCGAATGGCTTGGTTCACGTTTAACCGATCATGTGGGGAGATCTGTTCATGATTTTGCCTTGGCATATGGTCTGACACAACTGGTTACTTCGCCTACGCGGATTCCAGATGTGGAGGATCATGCACCTTCCCTGTTGGACCTTCTGCTGACCTCTCACCCGGACGGATATCAGATTTCCGTCGACGCCCCTTTAGGCTCCTCGGACCATTGTCTGGTCCGGAGTGTGGTGCCACTCACGCTGAAATCGCGGTTGCATTCTGCAGGCTGCCGCCGTGTTTGGCACTATACGTCAGTCGATTGGGATGGGATGCGGTCTTTCTTTGCATCCTACCCTTGGGGGCGGGTTTGCTTCTCGCCGGATGATCCCAACGTTGTTGCGGACTCTGTTGCTGATGTGGTACTTCAGGGTATGGAACTTTTTATTCCTTCCTCTGTGGTGCCCATTGGAGGCAAGTCTCAGCCATGGTTTGGTCGCTCCTGTAATATAGCATCATGCTATAAGCAGGAGTGCTACCAAGCCTGGGCTGATGCATCAGCGTCCCGGGATGTAAACACCAGCGCTCTAAAAAAGAAGTATAATTCCGCCTCTAGGTCCTTCAAAAGAGTCATTGCCAAGGCAAAGTCAGAGCACATAGGCAGAATTGGCGAGAAACTAGTTCGCCTTCCTTCTGGTACCCGTGCATTCTGGTCTCTCGCCAAGGCTGTCCAGGGGAATTTCTGTCAGCCATCTCTTCCATCTCTGCACAGGTAGGACAACTCACTGGCCCATAACGCAAAGGAGAAAGCCGATCTTCTAGGCTCTTTCTTTGCCTCTAACTCGACTCTCGATGACAGGGGGAGTACTGCGCCGACCATCCCGCGGTGTGAGTGCTCCATGCCGGAAGTGCACTTCACACAGCGCTCGGTTCGCAAAGCACTCCTCTCCCTGGACATCCACAAGTCGAGTGGGCCTGACGGAATCCCCCAATTGTGCTGAGGACGTGTGCTCCAGAGTTGGCACCGGTTTTAACGCGTCTTTTCCGGTACTCCTACTCCCTAGGCGTAGTCCCAAAATCATGGAAGACGGCTTACGTCCACCCGATCCCTAAAAAAGGCGACCGCTCTGACCCGTCCAACTACCGGCCAATCGCCATCACCTCCTTGTTCTCCAAAACAATGGAGTCCATTGTAAACTGCCAGCTCATGAGGTACCTTGAAGATCACCAGCTGATTAGTGACCGCCAATACGGTTTTCGCCGTGGTCGGTCAGCTGGTGATCTTCTGGTCTACCTAACTCACAGATGGGCGGAGGCAGTAGAGTTCAAGGCATTGGCCGTTAGTTTGGACATTGCGAAGGCCTTCGATCGGGTTTGGCACAAAGCGCTTCTTTCGAAGCTCCCTTCCTATGGGCTTCCCGAGAAATTGTGCGATTGGATCACCAGCTTTCTTGCAGATCGGAGCATCAAGGTTGTTGTAGACGGTGCAAGCTCCGATTGCAAGCCTATTAATGCTGGTGTTCCACAGGGCTGTGTGCTATCGCCAACGCTGTTTCTTCTGCATATCAATGACATGTTGCGTACCCGTAACATTCATTGCTATGCAGATGACAGCACTGGTGATGCTCTTTACACCGGCCGAGCCAATATTTCTCGGGAAAACGTCTCCGAGTGCCGGGACAAACTTGTGTCTGAAGTCGAGTCTCTGCTGGACAGAGTCTCGGATTGGGGGCGACTAAATCTAGTCCAGTTTAACCCCCAGAAGACACAAGTTTGCGCGTTAACCGCTAAAAAGAACCCCTTTGTCGTATCCCCTCAGTTTCAAGGCACTCCCCCTTGTTGCCTCAGCCAGTATCGGAATCCTCGGCGTCGACATTTTTTTTTTTTTTTTTTTTTTTTATAGAAGAGGGGGGCAAACGAGCATGTGGCTCACCTGATGTTAAGTGACTACCGCCGCCCATGATCAACCGCAACACCAGGGGAATTGCAGGTGCGTTGCCGGCCCTTTAGAAAGGAGTAAGCTCTTTTCTTGAAGGTCCCCAGGTCGTATCGGTCCGGAAAAATCACCGGTGGTAAATTATTCCACAGAGAGGTTGTACGCGGAAGAAAACTCCTTTTGAAACGTACAGTGGTGGACCGCCAAGCATCCAGATGGTGTGGATGGTATCGGGACGTTTGCCGTGTAGTGCGTTCACGAAATTTGGCGGCTGGGATTAATCCGAACAATTCCTCAGAGCACTCCCCGTGATAGATGCGATAAAATACGCAAAGAGATGCAACATCTCTTCGCAGCGCCAGTGAATCGAGCCGATCGGAAAGCACTCGGTCGTCAACGATTCGAGCCGCTCTGCGCTGGATGCGGTCAAGTGGAAGGAGCTGGTACTGGGGAGCCCCAGCCCAGAGATGGGAACAGTATTCCATGAGCGGCCGAACCTGCGCCTTGTAAAGTTGCAGGCGGTGTGCCGGCATGAAATACTGTCCCGCTCTGCTGAGCACGCCAAGCTTTTTAGAGGCCAATTTGGCCTTCCCTTCCAAGTGACCACGAAACTGCACGTCACTCGATATGTCGACGCCGAGGATTCCGATACTGGCTGAGGCAACAAGGGGAGTGCCTTGAAACTGAGGGGATACGACAAAGGGGTTCTTTTTAGCGGTTAACGCGCAAACTTGTGTCTTCTGGGGGTTAAACTGGACTAGATTTAGTCGCCCCCAATCGGAGACTCTGTCCAGCAAAGACTCGACTTCAGACACAAGTTTGTCCCGGCACTCAGAGACGTTTTCCCGAGAAATATTGGCTCGGCCGGTGTAAAGAGCATCACCAGTGCTGTCATCTGCATAGCAATGAATGCTACGGGTTTGCAACATATCATTGATATGCAGAAGAAACAGCGTTGGCGATAGCACGCAGCCCTGTGGAACACCAGCATTAATAAGCTTGCAATCGGAGCTTGCACCGTCTACAACGACCTTGATGCTCCGATCTGCAAGAAAACTGGTGATCCAATCGCACAATTTCTCGGGAAGCCCATAGGAAGGGAGCTTCGAAAGAAGCGCTTTGTGCCAAACCCGATCGAAGGCCTTCGCAATGTCCAAACTAACGGTCAATGCCTCCCCCTTGGACTCTACTGCCTCCGCCCATCTGTGAGTTAGGTAGACCAGAAGATCACCAGCTGACCTACCACGGCGAAAACCGTATTGGCGGTCACTAATCAGCTGGTGATCCTCAAGGTACCTCATGAGCTGGCAGTTTACAATGGACTCCATTGTTTTGGAGAACAAGGAGGTGATGGCGATAGGCCGGTAGTTGGACGGGTCTGAGCGGTCGCCTTTTTTAGGGATCGGGTGGACGAAAGCCGTCTTCCATGATTTTGGGACTACGCCTAGGGAGTAGGAGTACCGGAAAAGACGCGTTAAAACCGGTGCCAACTCTGGAGCACACGTCCTCAGCACAATTGGAGAATTCCATCAGGCCCACTCGACTTATGGATATCCAGGGAGAGGATTGCTTTGCGAACCGAGCGCTGAGTGAACTGCACTTCCGTCATGGAGCACTCACACCGCGGGATGGGCGGCGGCGTACTCCCCCCGGCAACGAGAGTCGAGTTAGACGCAAAGAAAGAGCCTAGAAGATCGGCTTTCTCTTTTGCGGTGTGGGCCAGTGAGTCGTCCTCCCTGTGCAGAGATGGAAGAGATGGCTGACAGAAATTCCCTTGGACAGCCTTGGCGAGAGACCAGAATGCACGGGTTCCAGAAGGAAGACGAACTAGTCTCTCGCCAATTCTGCCTATGTGCTCTGACTTTGCCTTGGCAATGACTCTTTTGAAGGACCTAGAGGCGGAATTATACTTCTTTTTAGAGCGCTGGTGTTTACATCCCTGGACGCTGATGCGTCAGCCCAGGCTCGGTAGCACTCCTGCTTATAGCATGATGCTATTTTACAGGAGCGACCAAACCATGGCTGAGATTTGCCTCCAATGGGCACCACAGAGGAAGGAATAAAAAGTTCCATACCCTGAAGTACCACATCAGCGACAGAATCCGCAACAACGTTGGGATCATCCGGCGAGAAGCAAACCCGCCCCCAAGGGTAGGATGCAAAGAAAGACCGCATCCCATCCCAATCGGCTGACCTATAGTGCCAAACACGGCGGCAGCCTGCAGAATGCAACCGCGGTTTCAGCGTGAGTGGCACCACACTCCGGACAAGACAATGGTCCGAGGAGCCTAAAGGGGCGTCAACGGAAATCTGATATCCGTCCGGGTGAGAGGTCAGCAGAAGGTCCAACAGGGAAGGTGCATGATCCTCCACATCTGGAATCCGCGTAGGCGAAGTAACCAGTTGTGTCAGACCATATGCCAAGGCAAAATCATGAACAGATCTCCCCGCATGATCGGTTAAACGTGAACCGAGCCATTCGGCGTGATAGGCGTTAAAGTCGCCGAGGATCACGATCTCTGCGGAGGGGATCTGCTGTAGCAACGAATCTGCAGCCATTTGGACGTGGTCGAAGAGTCGGTCTGTTTCGGCATTACCGCTATGGGACCTAAAACACATATCAAGTGACGTGCAGTTTCGTGGTCACTTGGAAGGGAAGGCCAAATTGGCCTCTAAAAAGCTTGGCGTGCTCAGCAGAGCGGGACAGTATTTCATGCCGGCACACCGCCTGCAACTTTACAAGGCGCAGGTTCGGCCGCACATGGAATACTGTTCCCATCTCTGGGCTGGGGCTCCCCAGTACCAGCTTCTTCCACTTGACCGCATCCAGCGCAGAGCGGCTCGAATCGTCGACGACTGAGTGCTTTCCGATCGGCTCGATTCACTGGCGCTGCGAAGAGATGTTGCATCTCTTTGCGTATTTTATCGCATCTATCACGGGGAGTGCTCTGAGGAATTGTTCGGATTAATCCCAGCCGCCAAATTTCGTGAACGCACTACACGTCAAACGTCCCGATACCATCCACACCATCTGGATGCTTGGCGGTCCACCACTGTACGTTTCACAAGGAGTTTTTTTCCACGTACAACCTCTTTGTGGAATAGTTTACCACCGGCGATTTTTTCCGGACCGATACGACCTGGGGACCTTCAAGAAAAGAGCTTACTCCTTTCTAAAGGGCCGGCAACGCACCCGCATTCTCCTGGTGTTGCGGTTGATCATGGGCGGCGGTAGTCACTTAACATCAGGTGAGCCACATGCTCGTTTGCCCCTTCTTCTATAAAAAAAAAAAAAAAAAAGAAGTCTGTCCAGGTAGGTTCCACCCCCTTCCTGCCTATTTCTGCCAGCAAATAGGATTGAGGAAATAGAGAGTGCATCTTGTGCGTTATAATGCCCCGAGGAGGTGGTTAGTCTTCATTGAGATTGACCACTGAGACCAAAATTTGGTCTAAAGGACATAAGTTTTTTTTATAGGATAGGGTGACAAACATGCACACAGTCCACCTGATGGGTAAATGGTTGCTGTGGCCCATAGACATCTACATCCATCCTTGATTACGAATCAAAACGGGTTGTCATCCGTGAGGACTTACATGGAATGCCTCGTTTCCAGTGTAAAAGATCTCCAGTTCTCTAAAATATTTTGTAAGGTATAAAGGCTGTCACTAATATTTGAACCAAGTACATTGTAGTGCTGTATTCTGACCTCTAGATTATAAAAAATACTTATTGAAAGGCATTTTAGGTTTACTTTACCACTGATTTGCAAAATATATCTGTCCTGGGAAAAACTGGCAAGACACCCAGCGGAACTTTAAAAAAAGTTTGCAATAAAGTATTGGTGTACGAGTACTAATACAAATCAAATAAGAATCGACTTGACAATCACTTTTAAACATTTTTAGGTGTTATAACATATTCTTAAATGTTAAATCGTCCCTTTTTTCAGTCTTTGTTTAATCAATTATTTGAACTTGGCAATAGGCAGACTTATATATTGCATTCATATTAAATATATGTTTCTAATATAAATAATTTTCTAAGATAAAAGTAAATTAATTTCTCTAATATCTAATATCTAGTGACATTATTAGGAGAGAATTACAGTATCATATTTAGCACCTGCAAGAGCAGGGTTCTCAATAAAACAATTTGCATCAGCTGCACTTTTAGATTCCACTGTAATTCTATTGCACCCTATTCACTTAACACCATCACTAACAACATTTTTAATATTATTATGGTAGAGAAAATGACCAAACTTTATCAGTTTTAAAACTACTCCGGATGATAAATCATCTACTATCTTACTAACATGTACAATAAAGGGCCCACTGTGACTGATGAATATAAGAGGACTGAATAGATGGTACAGGTTGAGATGGATCTGTAATTATTCTTTTCTGAGAATGTTCTGAATCATTGGATACCTGTGGTCTTGTACGATTCGATAGTTCGATTTCAATCGGTATATTTTTTTTTGGGAATAGTATGGGTGGCACTTGGAACTCCGTCGAGATCGGGAGGATCTTTTTTTAAAAACAACACAATTACTAAATACTTACGGATTTATAATTACTAAAACGAACACCAACACAAAGAATAATATACTCAATATATAATAATAATCTTAGGAATATGATATAGCCGAAAAAATTGATCGGTTAGGCAGTGATGTCTAGAAGACCTTTATGTAGTAGAAAATGCTAAATCATTCTTTATAATTAAAATGTAGAAAATCTTATTAAGAATAAAAAAAATTACATAATAAATATTACCTTGGATGTTAGCATGTTCTTGAAAAATTTAACACAAGTAACTACCAAATACTTTCGTTAATCTTCAAGCACCTTTCTAGAATATTTGAGATTCAAATTAACATGAGTTTGCCCAAAGTTTGACACAAAAACAATATATTTTTTTGAATTGATAAAACATGTGACATTGACATTTGACTTCGACAAATGATAATCATAGTCAATTTTTATATTGTACGATTTTTGGCTTGGATTACTTGTCTTTTAAGCCATGTTTTCATTTCATTCGGTATTTAAAAATCTTTTCAATATGCTATAAAGTTCTTTGGGAGATTTGACAACAGCTAAATCCAACTGATAGTCGATGATGCCAGTATCTCTAATTCATATGGCGTCTAAGCGAACAAAATAACTTGATGTTTATATCAAAAATCACTTTTTGTAGGCTGGATTCAACCTTGTTTCAATTACTTACCAGTCACATTCCTTTAACAACATAAAGTAACTTATGCATTTCACGTGATGCAGCGGCATACTGCGGTATCCCATGAATGCTGTGACGTGCCGCAGTATGCTGTTTTGCTGCGCAAGACGTTTCCGTCTATTCACGTTGAAATAAAGGAATGTCACTGCTAATTTTATTAAAATAAGGTCGAAAATCAATTCATGAAATAAATCCCTTGACACGCCATGTCATACCGTGTTTTGACAAAGAAATCTTTTCGATAACTATTTTTCAATTAAAAAATAGTTATCAAAAGATTCGACTATTCGCTACATACATCATAAAATGTTATAAAAATGATACAGGCGATTTAAGGGCATAATTTATTTTTAGAACCGATTTTAGTGTTTATCATCTTTATCATCATCACAGTCCTCCACAAGTCCGCTACTGAACAAAGGATTCTCTTGGGAGAGGCTTATGTGCGTTTCTTGGGGAATACCACAAACACGGTCCTGAGCCACCTATATCCATCGACTTTCTGCATGTCTTAACAGTTCCTCAGTCCATCTAGTGGGAGACCGCCGTACACTTTGCCTATCGGTACGAACCGAAGAACTCTATTACTAGAGAACTTTTCTTTTCCATTAATATATCATAAGTTTATGCAATCAAGTATTAGCTCACTGTCACGGATTATTTTCTCTACTTAGTATGTATGTAATAACTCTAAGGTTCTCTGTAAACAGTATTTTCAGATGTAGATATTTACGACGGATTTCTTGAGGTCCTGGGTTTGAATACCGGGTCTGTATTGTTCTTGATATTTCAATAACTTTATGTAGAAAGTTAATAAAGATTACTATTAAATAAATCGGTTCTTTATTAAAATAACATTTTAGATTCACAACAATTTTCAACAATTACAAGCTACTCAATAATAGCTTCCTATTCTATACCATAGGTAAGAGTGCTCTATGTTATATTCATAACCTATATATATATATATATATATATATATATATATATATATATATATATATATATATATATATATAACAGGGTATATACTACAGGGTCGGACCAAAAAAAAAGTCTCAGAGCTGCTCGGAGCAGGAAGTCTGTGGTGTCTTTGCGGTGTTATTGGATCCTATCCAGGCGAAACCGGGGTAGGTCGTTAGTTTTTCTAATTAAGCGGACTACACATGTCCCCGATTTGTTCCTCAAGTATGAAGGTCACGATGTTTTCGCATTCTAACTTCTAATGGTAAGTTAACACATTAAATTACACTTGACAAATCTTTCTAAGGTTTGAACCTTGGTTTGTTAATTCTGGTAAGTAAAATTAAACAATGGAAATTTAAATGAATATATTTTTAATGAAACATTTTACAGTTTATCAAAATAATTACAGAAAACTTTAACTATATACACAATTCACGGATGAAATTGTTGAGAAATTGTGGACAATGGTTCCGTATGAGATTCTGCCGGATGTGGTGACATAGAACGATATTTCTGTAAAAAGATAATAAATTTTTAATAAAGATTGAAATATTGATTTCATACTTAGTACAGCTAAGCAAAATGTAGTGGCGGTGTAAGAATATTCACTACCCCAAAGGATCCCGTGGGTATCGCAAGAGTCTACGGAGGATAACAAATTAGTAGAAGGATAGTAGCATATAACAATGATTAAAAAAAAATTTTGTGCTTATGACCACACGACTGAAGGAAAACTTTTTCTCCATCTGTATATGTTGATTTATGCATATATGTATAATATATACATGTATATATATTTTCTACCAATATTTAAATTTATTATCGGCTTCCTTCCATAATTTGTTGTTATTCACCCGAAAATTCACAAAAAATTAACTTTAAAATGAATTTACAATTTTATTCACTTTAAATGTAGAGTATTTAATGTATTGAACAAAATATTAATTTATTAAATACGGAACGTAACTGGCTATGAAAGAAAAAGAGAAAGAAAATGTGCGCGCGTACTGCTCTCTCTTACCTATATCCCCCATTCAACTCCCGTTCGCCTCACCCGATCACACTTTTCGTAACGCTTTCGTTACGAGTTGGCCAGCTTACTCCCCAAGTCAAGCGTGCGTAAAGAAGGTTTACTTCAAAAACTGCGGTGGCCAACGCGCTTGCCAAGCATGGCAACTATGACAAATCCCCCTATGAGGAAATATATGGGGGCGGCCTATGTTCAGCAGTGGACTTTAATAGGCTATAACGGTAACGGTTTATTAAGATCCTCTATTTCCTTATATAAAGCAAAAAGCTTTGAAATATAGTGGTTTTTTATCCACAGAATGTCGCACGCTTACTTCTCCACAAATATGCATGAAGCGGAGAAGGGAGTGCTAAAAGCCTTCTTTTAATGTCGGAAATCCTTTCTTGAAAGATGTCACTTATTTTTTTTTATTTTACCTCTCTGTAATCAGCCTCAGAAATTGCTGTCCTGAGCAGCTCAACACGCCTCGGCGGCGCTTGCTCCATGTTGTGCACCAGCTTGTACACTTCTGAGCGTTGGAGATGGTCCAGGGGAACGGGAGGTTTTTTGTACTTTAGGAAGTTTATCCTAAAAACGTATATATATCTATATATTAATACGTGAAGAGGAAATTTCGTACCCCTTAAGCATATGGCGCACACGGAAGTGTATATATTTGGTTTAGTTAAAGTGTATATGGCGAAGGAGTGCATAAAGTAAATTTTTTTACGTAATATGTGTTAAAAATAAAAATATTACATTAGATAAAATAATATAAAAAAATATTGTTGACGTTCATACGGCCAATGTCTCGGATTATGTTTTTACTCTAAGACCAATGTCTCAAATACTTAATAGTATTTAGTCAAACAGTCGCACAGAGTAGAGATTGTCACCAAAGAATTTTAAAATGTTGCCAAAAAATAATAACTGAAATTTATGCGTAATTTCAAATGTTTCTTTTTTTAATAGTTGCCTACTATTTTTAAGACTCGGCAGTCTAGTGGCTGCTTAGCTGTAGCGCTACGTAGTGCAGGTTTGAAGTCCGCTTGCAACATTTATTTGTATAGCCTAGAAATAATTGTTCCGGGTCTGGTTGATTGTCTGTGTGCAATCTATGCATGTTAAGTGTCAGTACAGAAGCAATTGTATGAGATAAGTATGGGAGTAAAGTTATGCATATGTTGTATGTTTACCATCAAAGTCGTTTGTTCGTTTGCCAATTTGTTGTCATGAAACGTAGTAACATATAATATTTAAAAAAAATTATACAAACCTATTATAACCGTTATAACAGTTTCGACAGAAACGAGCATATATTTTATTACTAGACCCTATGTCACTATACACTCACAGGCAAAAAAACCACCACACTAAAACTCACTTTAATCATTTCGTTATAAGTAGGAACTACATTCTCTTGCACGTTATGAAAATCCACAAGGTGACAGTTCGATTCTCTGCAAAATTGTTAAAAGAATATATAATGAACAAATCATCCATCATTCTTATAGACATTTTCCACTAACCAGGTAGCCGATGGTCCTCCGTTTTAGAACTCTTTGTGATATGTATTAAGAACATACAGTGGATTAAAAAGTTATTATTATTTATTTCTTCTACGTGGTTGACTTACGCTATATTATGGTTAAATGAGTCGCCTCAACCGGGGAAGGACTACGCTCTCACAGAATACCAGCGTAAATAGCAGCTCAATGCTGCTGTTTTTCATACGGTGAATGTAGTGAATCGGTGACCCTTTTTACCGTACTCTAAATTAGTCCTCAGGGGTGACAAACCATCTGTATTTTGATTCTTAATATAATTGATAAATGTAGATATCTATGGGCCACAGTATCCACTTACCATCGGGTGGAATATGTACTCCTTTGTCACCCTTAATCCATAAAAGAATTATATATTTTAATGGGATTTGGCAAAATTATCCCTGAGTTGAATCCCCAATAGTCGTGAACTGAGTGAGTATTCTGTTTTTTTTTTTAATTAAGTTAGAGGCACAGGCAATAAACAACCTGAGACAAAATTATAAAAAAATATTTACTCACAAAATTAAATTTATTTATTATTTTTTTGTCTTCAGCATGTCTTTCGACAATATTATTATTTATCACTTTCTTTTTTAACTTTATTTCACTTTATTATTTAACACACTACGCGCAAGCTGAATACTCTAAAATCCGGTATTTTTCATATTGAGCTATTACGATCAAACGGCAAATAAGTGAGTTACATCCTGCGGTTGGCTACCTAGTTGTGAAAAATGACTTTTGGTTAGTATCGGACACACACTCGCACAATCTACATACCTATATTTCCTACAAACAGAGGGAGTCCAAGGCCAAACCTTGTTCCATTGTTCGACCTGCCACAGCGCAGATAAACATGCAAACAAACAGACATTAAAACATGTTAGTCATGAAAAATTAAAAAAGGCGGGAAAATAAAGAAGCACCAACTTGTGCCGGCTCTGTATTGTCTCTACACTCTATGTTTATCGTCCAATCCTCCAATAGTTTGTGAGCGAGGTGGTACGCGTTGGAAGTTCCAGCCGTGTTCAATAGGCGATCATGGTAGGGGGCGATAAATCATCCACACATCAAAGGTGTATAAACGATCTCCAACTCAAGCAAAATGCCCTTCACACATCAGGCATTTTTATTTCGATATCCTATTGACTAGGTCGTAAGGTTCCCCTTGTGCGTAGGAGATCATCGGGGAAGGTAATATCATCTTGCCTATTTCTGTCACCAAGTAGCAGTGTTCCTTTTTTTATTAACTGGCTTTACTGCTCTGGGTTCTAGCCCTTCTGAGCCTGTGCTGTGTTCTGCTCTGTAGGTTACAGACAGCTAGTATAATTACAGGCTATGATACATTCCGTCCTAGTCTTCAGAGATGATGGAGCCTCTTTGTTTGAAGTTGACTGCAGGTGTACATGGACTGTAAGTTCCTTTTTTCACGTCAGTTTTATATAAAAAAACCAAATGTACTTTCTAAACCAGTCTCATAAAGTACTATGATATTATAAATCGGCTATTATATACGATCGTGTATCTAACAGTTGCAATTACATACGTTAAAAGTCATGCCAATCTAAAATTTCCAGTGGGGGGTAAAATATATTGTGAAATATTCTGGCTACTTTAGATAGTAGCGAAAATCGGGGACAAAGGCATTAACGTCCATAGTGCCAAATTATAAAAAAGTAATTTTTATTATGGACTGGAGCTCCCATGCTTTAGCCCAGATAGATCAAGTTAAGGATGGGTCATTCAGGAACCAACATTGAACACTAAAACTAAATTAAAACCTAACAATATACCCCAAAGTTTTTCCTTGAATAATTTCAGATTGGGCTAGAATAGTCTCCGCAATCTTTTCCTCGTTGTATTCTTCTCCTGGTCTTCGCCATCGTCTACCACCAGGCAAGATCAGTGAACGCCCTTCTGGGTTTAACCTTCCGAACTTTGGTTGTGGCTTTCTGAGGGGTGTCTTCTGTATAGCTTGACTTTGAGCCTCGATTCTGCCTGACTACGTTATGATATATTTTTTATTGAGTTAATAAAATCCGTGTGGTAGTTGAGTTAAATGATTCATTTTCAAAGTGGTAGAGTCACGCCGCAGCTATGTTATGATTGAAGCACGAATGGGTCGGCTTGACCGGGTAAGGACCACGCTCACACAGACACCAGTGTAAAAGGGCAGCTTAATCCTATATGTATTTCTTATTTCTTATGGACCGTTTTTACTGAAAACGAGGCATTTCATCTTAGTCCTCAGGGGTGCCAACGCATCTGCATTTCGATTCCTAATCGAGGATATATATTGATGTCTATCAGCCATAGCCTCCACACACCAACATGTGGACTGTGTGCACGTTTGTCACCCTTATTCTATAAAAAAAATTATCGCCCTATTTCATACTGTGGGTGTCGTAAGGGAGAGTTTTTGATACGCCAAAAATATCTTACTCGTATGATATTTAGACGTAAAGATGGCGGTATATCGATTGTTACAACGGACGCAAATTACCCATACCGGCTACAGGCAGCAGCATCAATGGTTCTCAAGCTAAGTTTGACAATTAAGGGAAAACCTATATACGGAGAAGTCCATGTCGAATTGTGGACTTTTGCACTCTGAGGACGATGATGAAGATTAAGAAAACTTTTTTACATGGTAGAGCCTTGCTGCAGTTATATTAGTAGTATAGTTGTAGTACGAATGGGTCGGCTCGACCGGGGAGGGACCACGCTCTCACAGAATACCAGCGTAAAATACCAGCTTAATGCTGCTGTATTTCGTATGGTGAGTGTAGAGAACCGGAGACCCTTTTTTCTGGAAACGAGGCATTACATCTTAGTCCACGAAACAGATTAAGAAGAAGGAGGCCCAATTACCATCAGGTGGACTCTGTTCTCGTCTGTCACCATATCCTAAAAAAAAACTTCTTCAAATTCTTTATTTCAGAGCCATTGTACCATCAATAAATTGTTGCATTATAACTTTTAAGACTATTGACATGGTATAGAAGCCACGTGTTAATGATGTCGTTGGTGGTGTCTGAAAGAAACATAAACTAAAAAAAAATGGTGTGTGAGGTAGACATAAATCGAATTATGTTTTAGTTCCAGTGCAATTGACTATAAGCGCGGAATCATTTACCAACTCAGCGCAGCGGTGCAACACCGATGTTGGAAAAACACCTTCACCATATTTTAAAAATTGGGATAAGTGCCACTGTCCCTGTATGCACACGTACTTATTTATGATAGAAAAACTAGTAAGTACATATGGTAACTAACTATAAAATCCATGTTTGATTTTTTTAATATTAAAACACAACAATCTGTTAAGTTTATTTGAACGTACTGGCAGCCTGCTTGGTTGGACTCGTTTCCAATACCAGATTGCAGAGCGACAATAAACATTAATAACGGTGGCCGGCCATTGGCACTTTGCTTTTAAAATTATCATAAACAAACTTACGTTATTCTTCTTGTCGTAGTCATCACTCACTGTTAGCGACGCACTCGTTTCTGACGGCATCTTTTCAAGAACGTTATTAGCTGTTACTTCGACTTCTTTAGTCTGGGGTTTTGTTCTTTCTTCTACAGTAACTTCACTTCCTTCACTTTTATGCTGGTTTGGCGCTAAATAGGATAGAAACAACGAAAGTCTACTGAAATTCTTATAATGCTAGTTAAAAGAAACTACAATGAAATGTCGTGCTCGTGCTAGGTAAAAACTTGTTTGCAAAGTTGCAGCTACAATAGTAATAATGTCCTCCAAAAAGTCTTAATGGAGACTAGCCTGCGCAGGACAGGATTACATTACACGAGTGTGTGCACAAGCACAGGTGCACCTCTATTCCCTCACTGTCATAGTCTGATGGGTTGACAATCCGATACAACCGGAGAGAGATCAGGTCCAGGGTCAACTACTTTACGTGCTTTCACGGAAACACCGTCAACTTGCTAACACTAGGATGCTACTGAGAATCTAATAATACAGTACGGTTACGGTACTAAAAGGTTGGCTTTCCAGGGAAAGAGCCAAGCTTGCACAAAATACTGTTGCGCACCATAATTAATGCCTGGTACATGGTGACATTAGTTACCACTAGCGCCCTCTAGTATCGAGTAGCATAACTAGAAGAGTTAAGATTCTTCTAGAGATTTCCATGTAAGAATTTTCTACACCTAATCAGTCGGGACCGGTGTGTACTCGAACATTCTAGATGTTTCAGTAGAAGAGGCTCTATATAAGGCCGGTATAGACCTCGACCCGGGTCAGTACGAAGCTGTAAAATCCAAAAGGCTAACAACATTAACATCATCAGAAACCAGACCCGGATAAGTATTGAATTGGCAATACAAGCGAATACTTTGAAGGGATACAACTGCGAACTAAAGTGATCCGTAGTACAATTGTGTTTTATTATTAGTGTGTTTTAAGTTGTAATTCATCATCATCATCATCATTACAGCCCTTTACAAGTCCACTGCTGAACATAGGCCTCCCCCAAGGTATGCCACAAAGCACGGTCCTGAGCCACCTGCATCCATCGACTTCCTGCATGTCTTACCAGGTCATCACTCCATCTAGTGGGGGGTCGCCCTACACTTCGTCTACCGGTACGAGGCTGCCACTCGAGAACCTTTTTACCCCAACGGTTAAGTCGCTCAGCGAGCTATGGAGAGGGCTATGCTCGGAGTTTCTCTGCGTGATAAACTTAGAAATGAGGATATCCGCAGTAGAAACAGAGTGACCGACATAGCCCAACGGATTAGTAAGCTGAAGTGGCAATGGGCCGGCCATATAGCTCGAAGTTGTAATTGGTGTTCTGTAATTAAAAAGTCAATTTTGGCAATTCAATCGGCAGTTGTTATTGTCACGAACTCCAAGCTCGTAACAATACCAACACAAAATGGCAGCTTAATGATACTATGCTTAGTAAAGTAAGTACCAAATACCGTCTTTACTGGTAACGAGGCATCCCATTTTACCTCTTAGAGGTGTCAACGCATGAAGCTCTTATTTTACGCTGGTATTTTGTGAGAGCGTGGTTCTTTCCCTGTCGAGCCGTCTATACCCGACTCTTTCCGGACCCGGTTCTACCGCGTATATTAGAGAATACTAAAAATATAACAAAACAATACATTGGTGAGCGGAACGTGATTTGAACACGCAATCTTCTGATCCAATTGGCCTACCTCGGCTCGGGAGCACAGTGAATCAATATTTAATTGCGTTGCTGCAGGATCTCGGTTTTTGAATCCCACATCTAACGTTCAATTTGTAACTGTTCCGGCTGGTTGTGTCATTATACAATTGCTCATTGCCTTATAGTTCCTCCAACTAGTGTCATAAAAAGAGACTGTGGGATATGAATGCCCAAAGGTTCATTACCCTTTTTTAGTTAAGGCATTGGTATAACCATCTCACTTACATCAAGCGTAAAGTGTGATGTTGCTTCACTTGCTTTGGTGAGATCGCACCGACTTAGCGTAACAAGAGTTTTCACTCTTGCCTTGAAGACACATGTTGTGATTGGAGGGAAAGACAAAATGAAGAATTTATACGTAAATCATTTCGCTTTAAAAAAATAAAAAAATATTTTTAAAATACAAATTCTTGTAAATTACCGCCAAAACCAATAGTCCAGGACTATTGGTTATGGTGAATATTTTTGACAAGTAAAAGTGAGGAGACTTTGACTAAGAAATGTCTGCAAATGCGAATTATTAGAATAAAGAATGAAACAAATGCTCTAATAGTTATATAAGTTTTAAGATGTTTTTTTTCTCCTGGAAGTTTAGAGAACTTGGCGTTCTTTATGTCTGCGACTGTCTGTGAATCTCCCACAAGAATCGCAATGTAACGCATCAACATATTGTGGAGATATTTGTTCATATATTTGTTTTTTTTTTGTTGTATCGCATGGTTTTGATGTATTCTTTTTGGCCAAAAACCTTGGTGCCAATGCCAAAAAATATATAAAAATATACCTGGACTATCTAAATGTTGGTCAATGTATTCCGTATGAGGTATTGTTTCTTCTTTTTTCTGAAAAAATAAAAACAATCATATTGTTAAGTAATAGACTGTTTTGTTTATTTATTTTATTATAATTCAATTAATATAATACAATACGAGAGCTGTGATAGCTCAGAGGCTTAGCGCTCTCTGTAAATTTCACAGAACGCGAGTAACCCGAGTCCGATCCCCGCTAGCACCATTGAAATTGTTAATTGCAATTTTAAGTACTAATTTACCACGTACTCGGCGGTGAAAGAAAACATCGTGATGAAATCTGCATATCTGAGAAATAAGAAAAAATATTTCGAAGACACGTGAAGGTCGCCAACACGCATTGGGGCAGCGCGGCGGACAATTACTTGCTTTAAAACCCTCTCAGAAATGAGGGGAGGCCTGTGCCTAGCAGTGGGACGTATATAGGCTATAAGTTTAACTTTAATACAATACGCTTAAAATTATGACAGTATAAGAAATACCTGTGTACCGACTGACCAATAAATACAATTTTTATTACATTTTTATGGTATAGGAATGGCAAACGAGCACGCTATCCGCCACATCTATCCTTGATAACAAATCAAAATGCAGACGCGTTGTCACCCGTGAGGACTAAGATAGAATGCCTTGTTTCCAGTAAAAATAAAAAGGGTCTCCGGTTCTCTACACTCACCATACGAAACACAGTTAACTACGATATATACGAACAACGTTAAGCTGCTATTTGACGAAGGTATTCTGTGAGAGCGTGGTGCTTCCCCGATCAAGCGGACCCATTCGTGCTACAACCATAATATAGCTGCAGCGGGGCTCTGCCACGTAATAATCGGCTCGACCGGGGAAGGACCACGCTTTCACAATACCAGCGAAAAATAACAGCTTAATTCTGTTGTGTTTCGTATGGTGAGTGTAGAGAACCGGAGACCCTTTTTACTGGAAACGAGGCATTCCACCACGGGTTATAACGCATATGAATTTTGATTCGTAATCGAGGATAGATGTAGATGTCTGTGAACCACAGCAACCACTTACCATCAGGTGAATTGTATGCTCGTTTGTCAGCCTAACCTATTTAAAAAAAAAGTACAGTGGCGTGGTTACACCACGCAGCAAAAATGCAAACTCTTTAGTAGGTATTAAGACTTCTTTATGACTTGCGACGTCTTTCCTGGTATAAGTCCGTTTGTTCAGGTTCTACCCTCTTGCTTAAGCAGCAATGTTATGCTATTTTCCAGCCTGAAAGCTAGTATAATTGCAAGCTGTGAGTCTATCCATCTTGGTCCTCAGAGGTGATAATCCATCTGTACCTTTCTGTGTTTGAAGTAGGTTGCTTGTCTATGTATAGCAATAGCCGCTTAGCTTCGAGTGGTGAATAACTCTGCCGTATCTCAACGCAAATCACAGAAGATTGGGCACCATGTTTAAAGGGGATGCACGAAGGTTTAAGGCGTATCACTAAAATTCCTTTGCCTGTTACTTTTTTCATTATTTAAAAAAATACATATCTTGTTAACTTTAGAATAACTCTGCGTATTATATTCTCGTAAGTATATTTCCGGGTTCAAGTGGTCAAAGACTACGCCGTTAAATCACAGAAGATCGGGCACCAAGTTTAAAGTCGATGCACGAAGTTTTAAGGCGTAGCACTAAAATTCCTTTGCCTGTAACTTTTTTGATTATAAAAAAAATTACATATCTTCTTCACATTAGAATAACTCTGCCTCTATCTCAACGCTCTGTGTATTATATTCTCGTAAGTATATTTCCTGGTTCAAATGGGCAAAGACTACGCCGTTAAATCACAGAAGGTCGGGCACCAAGTTTAAAGGGGATGCACGAAGTTTTAAGGCGTAGCACTAAAATTCCTTTGCCTGTTACTTTTCCATTATTTAAAAAAATACATATCTTTTTCATTTTAGAATAACTCTGCGTATTATATTCTTGTAAGTATATTTCCGGGTTCAAGTGGACAAAGAATACGCCGTTAAATCATAGAAGATCGAATATCACAACACAAGTTTAAAGGGGAAACGCGAATTATTAAGAGGTAGCACTAAAATTCCTTTGCCTGTTACTACTTTATATTATTAAAAAAATAATTTCTACTTACGTGAAAAACACAAATCAAATTACACCACAAGCCACAATCACATTCATAAAATCACTAAAAAGTGCATCTCAATAACTAATGCCAAAGTATTCGACTTGTTTTTCTGAACCTTGACGGACTGCCAAGGTTCATCGCAATACTGCTTGCCATTACTTGCAGTCATTGTTTTATTAATTGCAGATGATTAATTTTAAATGAATTTGCGTGCTAGTATTATGACTGAAGCACACACGAGTCGGCTCGAGCGGGGGAGGAGCTCGCTCTCACAGAATAACATCGTGAAATAACTTAATGCTGGTGTGTTTCGTATATGGAGAATCTAGAGAATCGGTAACTCTTTTTACCAATAAAAAGGGTTACCGGATCTCTACACTCACCGTACGAAACACAACAGCATTAAACTAATATTTTACGGTGGTATTCTGTGAGAGCGTGGTCCTTCCCCGGTCGAGCGGACCCATTCTAGCTACATCCATAATATAGATGTAGCGTGCCTCTGCGACATTTAATGACGTGAAACGTGCAAGACATGTGAAAAACAATATGAATTTTAATTTTAATGGACACTGACAAAATTCAAAAAAGTAAGTTATAAATGCCTATAACTACCTATAACACTTAATTTGATGTATCTAAAGATTTATAGTAAGTTTAAAACAAACTTAATACACAAACCCTTCAAAATTAAATGTATATAATAATAGGAAAATACTATTATATTTATTTCTATTTTCCTATTATTATATAATGTATATAATAATAGGAAAATAGAAATAAATATAATAATAGGAAATATAAATAATAGGAAAAAAGAGAAGCAGTACGAAAGGAAATGGAGAGACAATTCCAACAGGAGTGGGAGAAGAAAAAAGAAGAGATTCCATCTTACTCATAAGGAGTCTTATGTTAATTTAGGACTAATACGTCCCACGTTTATATGAAAATGATGAAAAAAGTGATTGTGTAAGCAATAGGGTTGCCACCTACCGCTTCTTTTATAATTTTCCATCTAAATCCATATAACATTAAAGATGATTAAAATTCATTAGTTAAGATCACGTAATAAAATAAAATGATGTGTCTTACTTTGTTAGAACCACAGAGGGAGGGTGTGAATTTAAAAACAAATTTAATATAATGGATTCCCACAGTAACGCCTTTCTTCTCAACGATTATATTAATTACCATATAATATTTTATAGGTTAACATGGCTCTAGTAGCATGCTGCTGTTTGAATTTTACTTGCCCTCTCGGAGATCACAGGCGGTACGTTATGTATGCATGTAGGGTGGCCGGGTTACCCTTAATTTTTTTAATCTTAGTATAACATGACGATTTTTTTAAGTTAAACAATGCTTTTTTATTATTTACTATAAAATCTTCTTAAATTGTAATGATATAACAAAAATTTAATAAATCAGTCTTCTTCATTGTTAATCATTCAATATTTATTATAATATTAATTTCAATGATTGCAATATTATGTATATGTCTATTATGATGTGTATATTAAGTACATGAAAAATGTAAAAAATGGTCAAATTTAAAAAGCCTAACCAAAGTCGGACAGGCCGGACACCGTCTAATTTGACCAGTCAAACAAAAAGCCTGACTGTGCCCGGCTTTATCCGGACGCCTGGCAACGCTATATGCATGTGTTCAGATGTGACGGCACATTCTAATTCTTAATCGATGATAGAAGCTGTGCCTATGAGCCTGAGCATACAGTTACGGTGAGGCGGAATTTTGCTAGTTTGTGACCTTTATTTAACAAGGAAATTAAAAAAAAGTATATAAAAATGAATATACCTACCACGTTTTTATTTTATATTCTTATATTGTCATCCGATTTTGAGCTATGTTCAAAATTTTAAGTTTTTTAACTCATTGGGAAGTTAGTTTAAAATCATCAGTAATAAAGAGTCGTCGCTGTAGTCAAAATCGGTCTCCGAAAGGACGCCATTTTGATTATAGTTAGTTTTTAAATTTTTAGATATTAGTTACGTACCTGGTGGCCTATTTGGTACAGTCGCTCATTTATGTTATCCAAGGTTTCCTTAACAACGTTTGGCACTTGCGCCAAAGTCTCAAGCTGACTCTTCATTTGGCTTAATCGCTCTTCAATTGGTGCTGTGGAATCTGGATAAAGGAATTAAAGTAAAGTAAATTTATTGCTTTTGACAAAAAACAATACAGATTTAATCGCGCTTAATTTCACTTATTTTCAACTTTCAACGTTTTGGTTGCTTAACTAAACCTACGGCCTTGTGAGGACTGAAGTCCCTGAGATCTGTGAACATGTTCAAGGTCATCCTCGCTATTACTATCAGTTTTGATAAGACACAAATCCTCGCTGAAATACATCGATTTCTACCAAGGATGATTCGCGAGGCCTGTGAAATAATCTGCTTGGGATGACCTAGCTTACCTCCAAAAACAAGCACCTACACCGCAAGATATATCTCGTTATCTCATTACATCTAGTATCTTAATAAAAGTTTCCATTGTAAGTTCTTATGACGGCTCCATGATTTATGTATACAAAATGTCTCCACTATACGGGAGGCAATCATAGTGTGGGGGTAACCTTTTTTAATAAAGAAAAAAATCTTTAAAATCGAAACCGAAAATCTTATTTACAATTTCATTGACTTGTGTCGTGTCGTGTCGTGTGTTGATGAGTGTGCTCGTTTGTCACCCATATCCTATAAAAATGAGGTACTCACCAGCTATACTCTTAATTTTCGTCAGCAAGATCTGGACTAGTTCATTATTCTCTGAGTCTCTTGCCAAACCGTCTACAATTTTCAGTGCGTCTTTAACTATTTCTTCTATCTTAATCCTCTCTTCTTTGCTGTACTTTTCTGCTTCGTGTTCATCTTCCATAACCTCGATTCTTGGTATTTCGTGTTGGACTGGAGGTGTAAGAGGCAAATCTAAAATAAAAAAATGAAAATATATTTTATTTTGAACTGAAAATGAGCCTCTATACACTATTTTTATTTATTAAATATCTAGTAGTAGAACCAGAGTATCTGACATAGCCGAACGAATCAGAAAAATAAAGTAGCAATTGGCCTACAATATTTTAAAAAAATTGCAGTCACAAGGGATCCAAGGTCCACCTGATGGTAAGTACCATCGCAGCCCCTGGGTGTCTGCAAGCTTTAAATAAAAAAGAAGGCTACAGATGACGTCATCTCTGAGGGTTAAGATGAAATCCCTCTTCACATCACAGCTGCTTGTGATTCAATAATAGCTGAGTTAGTAATTAGACTGAACTTTGAAGAAAATTGTTCGAATTTTAAATCTACTGAATCCTAATAAAGGATCCAAATTGGTGGACTCAGTGAAGTACTTATGCCAATCTAAAAAATAAGTTTAATACATGTGGCAACATAAAACTTGAGTGTACTTAAATTATTTATTTATCAACAATGTAAAGTCTTTTTGTAGCCTATTAATTTAAAAATGAACTTTTAATTTAGCACGGGGGGGGGGGGACGGGGACGACGACTGAGGAATCTAACATCCAGATGTCATAGTTACCCCGGCTACCTTCAGCTTTTGAATAGGAATTTTTGGTGCGATCTATCCACAGCTTTTTGTATCTTGAATTCCTACAATGGTATTGGATTTCGGTAGGCTCAGACATCATTTCTATTGAGATTTGGATGTTTTTTTTTAATTTTAATGGTCTCGCATATTATCCTAGATTACAAGTATACTGGTGACCGGTACCGTCTGGAGAAAATAGGGTGTAACATGGAAACGGCACTGATATTTTACAAAATATTAAAGCAAACATTTTTAATTAAATATTATACATACATATTTTATGTATAATATTAATAAAAATTAATATATATATATATGTATATTACATAAAAGATTATATACCTATATTAATATATCACAGGCTAGGGTGGATATATTCAAATCATATCCACACCCCTGGCCTTGCGAAGTAACAAGATCAAAGATGCCTACTAAATCATTGACTTATATATTATTACTTACCGTTCATAAAATATGGTGGATATGATTTGAATTTCGATAAATTTTTTTTAAATATTTGTTTTTTTTTTTTTTTGTAAAATATCAGTGCCATAGGCCTCTACTCCGTTCACATGTTATACCTTATTTTTTTTTTCAGACGGTAAAGGTCTTCCAGTATATAAAAGTCTTGTTGTCGTTACCAGTAGCTTCCGTATCACTTGTACCACAAAATCCTGGAGGTACTGCTATGAGGTACTCTGGCTCCTCTTCAGGAATTAGTATAGGCTCTTCAATTTGTAACCCTCGTGCGCCTAGAGAATCTGCCAGTGCTCGCTCTTGCCACGGCAGCGGACTGGAATTGAAGTCCTGGCGACATAAAACGGTTGGAATTTCTCATTACGAGACTTGTTCATATTTCATTTTATTTAAAAAATTTCGTGAATGACTATGGTGAAAAACTAAGCAATGGAAACACAATACTTCGGACACAATTTTTACGTGGTAGAGCCATGTTGCAGTTATATTAGTAGTATAGTATAGTTGTAGCACGAATGGGTCGGCTCGACTGAGAAAGGACCACGCTCTCAGAGAATACCAGCGTCAAACAGTAGCTTAAAGCTGCTGTGTTTCGTATGGTGAGTGTAGAGAACCGAAGACCCTTTTTACTGGAAACGAGGCATTCCACCTAAGTCCTCACGGGTGACAACGCATCTGCATTTTGATTCGTAATCGAGGATAAATGTAGATGTTTATGGGCCACAGCAACTACTTATCATCAGGTGAGCTGTGTGCTAGTTTGTCATCCTGCCCTATAAAAAAAAACAATGCTATAGAGAACGATCGACCTCATTTTGTAAGTTCCTCTACCATAGCTTTAGCGCTTCAGCTTTCTACAGATCAATATATTACTTTGATATCTCTTTGTACTGTCAGATTTTGCTTGCTGGATTCAGTTATGTAGACGACTCTACATGTTCACAAACAAATAAGACAACGGCGGAAACTTTGGTGACATAGGCCGTGCGCCTATATGTGGTGATATATTTGCCACCTTTGAGGTAGAATAAACTCTCCAAACTTATATGGAACTACTGAAGTATAGCCAATTTAATTAAAAAAATGTCAAAGATATCACCTTTAAAACAATAAATCATACAGTCGAATCGTAAGCCTCCTTTTTATCGAAGTTATACTAAATTACCAAAGAAGTATAGTTTTACAATTGGCAGCTATCGTAACGCTATACTTCTTTGATAATTTATACGTGGTAGCGTCACGCTACAGCTATATTATGGCTGTAGCACGAATGGGTCGGCTCGACCGGAGAAAGACCACGTTATCACAGAACACCAGCGTAAAATGGCAGCTTAATGCTTGTTTGTTTCGTATGGTGAGTGCAAAGAACCGGAAACCTTTTTTACTGGAAGCGAGGCATTTCATATTAGTCCTCAAGGGTGATAACGCATTTGCATTTTGATTCTTAATCGAGGATATATATCGAGGTATATGTTTAGGGGTCATAGCATCCACTTCCCATCCAGCGGACTGTGTACTTGTTTGTCACCCTCATTCTATAAAAAAATGACGAAGATATCGCCTTTAATACAAAAAAACATACAGTCAAATTGTAAATCTCTTTTTCGAATTCAACTAAGAAAGCATCATACTAGATGGCGCTGCCTATCGTAAAACTATCTTTAGACTCGTACTATCGCACTTTTGCCAGTGTCAAGTATATGAAGAAATGAATCCTTATAATAATTTGTTTAAAATCTTCTTCACAATATGTTGATACGTCACATTGAAAAGTTTTTTTAAAGATTTTGACGGCAACTTGAGCCAGCAGACAGTTGATGACGATAATATCTCAAGGCGACTAAGCAGACACATTATCTTGTGATTCACATCACCATCGAAGCACCTGTTCCATCGTTTTCACTATTATTTCACATGATCAGACATTTAAAACACACGACTTTTACGTATGAAAATCTACTTTAAACCATTATTGAAATAGAAATAGAATTCAATTCAATTCAATATACATTATAAATATACTCATTGAAAGTCACTCTTATATTTACCTTACCATCTTATAATTACCACTGGTTCGGAAAATACCTCTGTCCTGGGAATAACCCGCAAGAAACCCAGCGGGATTTTTTAAACGAGATAGCCTTACAGTAGTCGCATAAGATGTTTTGTAACATCCGACGTCTCATCTTGGTAATAAGCAATATTGACACATTATATCTTGAGAAAAAAACGAATTGCTTTTTTTTAATTCAAAATTAAAAATATCAGTTGAGCAGCGGCAGAAATTTACCTCAACATCTATAAAAGCTACATACTGAAATATTTATTAGAATTATTTCATTATTACTAACTTGCATTGTTTATTAATGTCTGCACTTTTTTCAGACACTTAATATCACCAGTAAATACGGTTATTAATATATTTTACACATATAAATTCGTTTATAAAACAGTACACCATACTACCAGCGTACGCGCTTATTGGTCAAATCAAATAGCGCGCGCTTCCACGGCTTTCTATTACGCACTTCCGTCCTTTTTCACGAAATCACTCCCACAGATTGCAGGGAAGCGAGAGGAAAGATGTTTGCACATCAAAAATAATTAATACACAATGATTAACAAACAATATTAATATGTACACGAGCAGAAACATGCCGCCGCTCTAGTTACCGTTAAAACTAATTACTAATCACTTACTTGAATTTCAAATTTGTTTTGCAAATCAGTGAAATGTCCCAATGTTTGCCCCGGAACCGGATGTGATTTCTGCAGAAATGTCGTCCATTTTATTTCCTTCTTCTCTTCTTTGATTGTATCTTGTTCCTTTTCAATCGGTTCGTTGTCGGCTGATTTTTCCTGAATTTCGTTTCTGATCTTCATTTTGGAACAGTCTGGGCTTAACTCTTCTCGGAGCATGTGCGCTGAGAGAACTCTTGTGAGGCTGTATGGTTTTAATTGGAAAAAAATAAGTATTATTAGTGTAATCGCGACTAATCATCACGTGGTTCGAATCACGAGCCAGGCCAAAAGTTATTGGTTTTTCTATCAAGAAATTATCAGTAGCTGTACGTAATCTGAATACTGGCGGTGCTGGGCCTCCGTACCTCGGAAAAAAATCCATTCTGGGAAAGCACTTAAAGCCGTTGGTCTTGTGCCCGATCTCTTTCCGATCGTGTCGGATTGACGTCCCGTGTGAGGGAATACAGAGCACAACTGTACTTTTTTTATTGGAGACGGGCAAACCTCAAGGTTGAACCTGATGGTATATGACTACCGTCAACCATGAACAACTGCAACACCAGGGGAATTGTAGATGCGTGTTGCCGGCCTTTTAAAAAGAGTAGGCGCTTTTCTTGAATATCTCTAAGTCGTATCGTTCCGGTAAAATCTCGGGTGGTGTTCAATTCCACAAGGAAGTTGTGCGAGGAATAACACTTCTTTTAAATCGCACAGTGGTAGACCGCCAGGTATCCAGATGGTATGGATGGTATCGCGAGTTTTGTCGCGATGTGCGGTGGTGAAATTGCGCATACACTGCAGGCACAGATGGCTGGTCTCTGTTGAGACTGGATACTGCAGCAAGGAAACTGACTATTGCAATTTTAATTGTTGATTCATCACGTGCTTGGTGGGTATATGAGAAAATAAAAAATATTTCACAGACGTAAAGTTCGCAAACACGAATTTCATAATTGCGACCCGCCCCTACTTCGCCAGAGTAGAATCTATCTAATCTGTGGTGGCATTAAATTCAAGATAAACATAGACCTTTTATTTTTTCAAGTTTTGTATTTACAAAAAATCGTTCATTGAGTTCCATTACAACCGCTCCGAGAATTAGCTCCGATAGACAAATAGACAATTTAAAGAAAATAGCTATTCATGTCTCAATGGCAGTCAAGTAAATTTTGCAACTCAATATTAGGCATTTCTTTTGATATTACAAACAGACACTTTAATTTTATTCATGTGTAAATATATACTTTATAAAGTTAGCAATATGTTTATACTTCACTTACCTAATCACGTGTTGCTCCTTCAGTAGTTCTTCTTTTGGTGTTAATGCAGGACATCTGTCTACAGATATACCTCTGTCAGTATCTATAGTCTTCTCTGTAACACCTGTGATTGTGAAAGATTTACAAGGTTTAATATTGAATACGTAGTTCCTAATATGATCTCTTAAATTTTATAAGACCAACATAACTGAAATTGACGATCGTCTATGCATGGTTCAATAGGATTGTCCATTTCAGAATCATCTGGTTAGTGACAAATATTTTTGAGTGTAACAAGAACATAATGCATATTATTATATGGATGTGTTTCGTATGGTGAATGATGAGATCCGAGTATTATATTTAAAGTATGTTATATTTATTTAGAGTATTTATGTAAAAAGATATTTTGTACGGTTTCTATATTCAAGAAACGTTTCGTCCTTGTGACGATCCGTTTTACTACATACAATGTGCATTTGAAAACAGTTTATTATATTAAACAATTTATTCAGTAACTTATGATGACCTAGTATTTCGTCTTAAAAAAGGAGTTATAATGCACTTAACTTAGTGCGAAACGGCTCGTAAAAGAAAAACGAAGCATTTTTAAATATAGATTTTAACCAAATATATTCGAGATTTAACCAAATATATACGAGCCAGGCCAAAAGTTATTGGTTTTTCTATCAAGAAATTATCAGTAGCTGTACGTAATCTGAATACTGGCGGTGCTGGGCCTCCGTACCTCGGAAAAAAATCCATTCTGGGAAAGCACTTAAAGCCGTTGGTCTTGTGCCCGATCTCTTTCCGATCGTGTCGGATTGACGTCCCGTGTGAGGGAATACAGAGCACAACTGTACTTTTTTTATTCGAAATAAATCGAATAAATTTAGAATTTAGAGAATTTAGAATCGAATGAATAAATAGATCGAAATAAATTTCGTAACGAGGCTATCCGCAGAAGACCAGGACTAACTGATATAGCCTAGCGGATTACTAAGCTGAAGTAGCAATGGACCGACCATGTTATGCCATATATGCCTGTATGAATGACAGCTGATGTGTATCATATAACGCGTGCAAACAAGACAACGACTCGATTGTAAGCTGTCCGATTTTTTTTTCTTATCCTACCTGCATACCTATAATTTGAGAACGTGGAAGAAAGAATCTTGAGTGGCAGTCTTGATTAAAACCGCAGACAGTCGGTGGATACATTTGGTTCAAGACTGAACTTTTAGGCAATCTATGTAGGAGACCTATTTACATTTCTTACACGTCGATGCGACAACGACTAAAGTATTTTAGGTTAAAATGCAGTATGCGTTTTTTGGGAAAAATTATGAAGATTTAGTATTATTATGAAATAGTAGAATTTACCAGCGACTTCCTGATCAGCTGCGATATCTTCTGATTGTACCTCATCAACATACTGTTGGATAGTTCTAGGTTCCTCATCAGGCGTTTGATACACCTCATGTTCACTTTGCTCCATTTCCTGTAAAAGTTAATATCTTATTTATGCAGCATATTTAATATTAATTAACCATCCCAATTTTAATTTTAAGTGCAATTTACTTAGATAATTTGCTGAGATTTAAAATGTCGTAATTAACCAGTAGGTCTTCAGGTGAAACTATTTCCTGTTCTAAAACCATCTTATAATGAGTAAAAACTGATGGCCACCAGTTAAATGTTTATAAGCTGTTAAGTTATAAGCCCGTAGCATTCAGTTTTTAACATTAAATAAAGATGACAAAGAAGCACTCAATCCATGTGATGTTAAGCACACATACACATCCGCTTATATCCTCTATCGGGAATCAAAATGTACGAGTATATACGTTGTAATCTCTGCGGACTAAGATAGAATATAAGTAAGAAATTTCGAAATAGCTGCGGCAGTCTCTACCACGTGAATCAATTGCTAGACATAGGCACACCATTTAACCCAATCTTTATCTTTACCAATCTAAATCATGGCACGCGTTGTACGGAAGCCACTGATTTATTTCGATATGACAATAAAATTACGTTATGCCTTTTTATTTTCTATAACTGTTTTAATAGCAAGAAGACAAAAACAAGCTAATATGTGTGTGTATGTTTCATCACTATAGGTTTATTCAGAAGAATAGTGCGGACAAACAGTCAGACATTAAATAATTTGTTTTATTGATGTCTTAGTGGCATGGAAATTATACCCTGAGCTCAATAAAAAGCAGTTATTTCAATGCTACAGGCCGGCATTTCAATTTAATTTATATTTATAGATTAACATTTATGGAAACGAAGAAGCGTACGAAAATTAATAAACTAACAACATCAAAATAGTATACATGACCTTAAATTAAAACTTACTTTTTCATCTGTATCGATTTTAACGTTTTTAAAATTTTCAGTAAATTCAGTTATATTTTCTTTTATAATCTCATTGTATTTTCTGTTGTGGGTTTCATTATTAGATACGACCTTTAGAAGAGTTGCTTCAGTAGGGTATTCAACTATAGCTTCAGCAGAAACAAATCCTTCTGAAATATTCACAAATTCTTTTAAAGTATTAAATTCATCTCTTACATTCAAATCGGACTGAGCAATTTCAGCGGCGCTATTTAAAGTTCTGATTTTGATATTTCTTTCATTTTTACCTATTATATTAGTCTCACTTTGAATTTCATCTGCTCTTTGTATGCGACTGTAAACGTCCTCCAAAATAATATCTTCAAAATCTTCTGCGTATTTTTCATGTTTTATGTCACTATTCTCAGCCTTTGTTTCAATCTTGGATAATTCTACAGAAATAGTTATCGCTTTGTCAGTTTCCTCTGCTACCATTAAATTGTCTTTTTCTATCTCTTCCTTCTCAATAGCAAGATCAGGTACATCTGGATCGCTTTTATTTTCATGTACATTTGTATCACTAATAAATGTTTCCATTTTACCTTCACTTATATTGCTCATAATTTCTTCTGCTTCTGTTCTAATGTTAGGCAGGCCTTGTTCATCTGTGCCTTGTTTTTTTAAAATGCCAAATTCTTTTTTATATTCTTCAATGCTTTTAAGTGTTGCGGTAATGGCTGAAGCGAGAATTGACGATTTTCTTTGCACCTCCAATATATCTTCCTATTAGAATATTAAGTTCATTTACTCGTAAAATCATGGTATAATATTCATTATTTTAATAATTTAAAATTATAATAGAGTAAACATATCGTTACAGCCCATCAAAAAATTCTTCTGCTGAACATAGGCCTCCCCAACAGATTTCCTTATAGGGATATTTTTGCCACAGTTGCTACACTTGGCAGGTGCTTTGGCAAACGCAATTTTTTATTGTTTGGTTTTTATAAGAAAAGCTGCCCGTTTGGTTTATTTCTCACTATCGCCTCTCAAAACTCCCACGAGTCGATATTGGATGGTAGTAATGGATATTTTTACAATGTTTGTCAATAAGAATATGAGAGAATGCAGAGAATATAATATAGTAAATTATCAAACTGAAAATACCTGTGACATGATATCGCTGGTCAACATTTACATTTAGCAAAAAACTACATTTCGTTCATTCACAAAGTTTCTAATCGTACATAACTTTTTCAGTGATGTAATACTATAAAATTCCCACTACAGGACAGTGACACAGGAATCTTGACAAATAGGTAATAGTAGTCACATGACGGCAATGATGGTGAACGATATTATTTAATTAAGAGTCGAAATATTGACACTAAATCAAAGTTGTAAAATTCGTTTGATCCGCATTTTACAACTATCATTGCTAGAAAAAAAATACGGTGCGCTACAAATTGAACGTACCAATGCAATGAGAATTTACGATTTCATTAAGGTTACATGATACGACCGAAGTGGAGACAGATTCCTTGGTAGAAATAAGCATATGATAACACTTCTAATGTCTATTTATTCAGATCTCTAAGGGCATAGGTCGCCTGCCATAATAACTAGTAGGTAGGAAGGTAATGAAACTGTAGTAGCATTGAATAAACTCAAAAATTTCATACTAGGTGAATAATCTAAGTTCGACTCCTAGAGTCGAACTAAGAAAACTGATGAACTAAGTGCCCGCTTGTGAACAAAAACATTTTAAGAGAACATCGTGACCGTAAAATTTTAATATTTTATTTTGATTCTCTTAGAGATGTTTTAAAATAATGTTACAAAAATACAAATAAATAGGAAATGGTGTAGGTAAAGAAAGAAAATAATCTAAACATATTTAAAAGTTTTATTTGCAAAAATGATCAAGATAGGAAGAAGAATATATTTTACCATATAAATAAATATTGGAAAATTACTTTTTTGACTACTTTTTTATTCTAGATTTAGATTCAGTTTAGTCAAATTAAGCTGTACGTGTTAGAACCAGGCTACAGCGTGTTATGGCTGTAGCATGAATGGATCGGGAAAACTGGGAAAGGACCAAATTCACACAAAACACCAGTTTAAAAGAGCTTAATGCTGCTTTATTTCATATTATGAGTGACAAAAACTGAAGACCCTTTCTACTTTCAACGAGATATTTCATCTCATTACCCAAGGTGTGAAAACAAACCTACATTTAGTTCTCAATCGAGGAGAGATAAAGATGTCAATGAGCTATAATATTTACTTACCATCAGGTACACTGCGTGCATATTAACTTGCTTAGTAACTTTAATGCTGATCTGTTTAAGATAGTATAATCTTTAACAGATTACAATAAGTGAGTAGCCACATCAATGATAAATGTAAAAATAATACATATAAAAACAGTAGGTGGCTATCAATTAACTGTCATACCTTTGTTATTGGAGGTGTGTCTGATCCGCCTCTTAACCCTAACTTGACATATCGTGGTAGTCGTTTTGCTCCACCATTTAAGCCTGGCTTAGTGTATACGGAAGAGTTAGGAGGGCTTTTAGACGGATTTGGTAAAGGTGGGTTATACAAAACTCCTTCATTTATTTTAGTTTCTACTTTTGGTATCAGATTTTTCTTTTCTTTATGTGGATCCTTATCATGTGTGAATTCAAAAATTTCAGGGCTTGGATCTCTTGGAACAGGGGTGGTTCCTCTGCTTTTAGGTAACGGCACTACAAGTCTAAAAATGTATTCATCTGTTATTGGTGTAGGAGGAGTCGTAGGAGATTGAATATCAGTAATATTTGCAACATTTTGGATGCACTTTTGAGTTTTTGCAAATTTGTCTGGGTTTGAGTCAGTCTTAACAACCAACTTGCAATTTTTGGCTGATTTTGTTGACTCTTGGGAATCGGAATATGATAATATCGATGATTTCGAAGTTGATTGTGAAACGGAACTTTTTCTGAATGATTTTTTATAGGCGCTACCTCCATTCGATGGTTGACTTAAAAGGGACTCTATTTCGTTTAGCTCTATGTTTGTTGATCCGCGTACAGTTGATTCTGATTCACTGGAACTCCTAAGTGTTTGCGATTCGAATATATTTGCTCGTAACAATTGTTCATCAGTTTCCTTTAAAGCAAAACTATGTTGGTTATGACTTAGTCCAGAAACCGATTTTGAGAAAGCAGCTGTGTTTATTAATTTACTGCGAGTTAAATCTTTCTCCTCATACATTTCCGACACAGAGCACACTGGTTCATGTTCTTCTTTTTTTATAATTGTTAATGTTGCTGATTCATCTGCAGCTGTTTTATCTTTTATAAGTCCAGACAAATTTTTAGTAGATATCACGTCTTGTAATTTTTCGGATATATTGCAGTTCTGTGTCGTTTGTGCCTCAAGTTTATTTAAAGTTTTTTGTAACTTGGCTGTAGATATATCGTTGTTTAAGTGTGTTTCATCAGAATCATCAGAACTATTACCTATTTCAGTTATATTTTGTATCACAATGTCAGTACAATTTTTAAATTTATGCTCAGCAGTTTGTATCAAATCTGTTTGAAAATCTGTGGATTTAATATCCTCAGCTCCAGCCATAAGTATAGCCTCTTTGACGTTTCCAGAAGCAGATTCTCTGATAGTATTAGATAAAGAAAGTTCACAAGACAATTGCTGATGTTTTTGAGACTCCTCTCTTTCAACATTTTGTATAACTGAAACATTTAAATAAGAATCTTTTTCACTAAATGCTTCTTCGTTATCACCTTTTAATTTTTCTTTAATTCTTTGGTTTTCAGAAACATTTACAATTTCTGATGATCCAACGTTGTTTTTATTAATAACAGCACTGCTTAAAATCTCGTTCGTTGATGATTCACTATAGCTGGAAGATTCTAAATGAGTTGCTGCAGACTCTTTGAAAATTTCATCTTTATTAGTTTTAAATAATAAATAAATATCATCACTATTAATTACAACAGCTTTGTTCATAGTTTCCGCATTTGTAAAACGTGTGGTCTCTTTGGTCATTTCCGCGTGTTCATATTTAACAGGATATTTAACAACTTGTGTTTCATGATTCTCATACGTAAAACTTGCCTGTTGAACAGTAGCATTATTAAAAGGCAATGCGAAATTTAAAAAATTTGGTTCCAATATTATGAGAGCTAATTGTTTGTCACAGTAAAAATTAATTGAATTATTATCTTGCACTGAATAAAAATCAGTGTATTCATTATTCGCTACAGCTATTAGAACAGCAACAGCTTTTTTTAGCTCGTGTTCTTGGATAGAAAATGCAATTTGCTCTTCTCTTATATCAGAACATTCCAAATTTTCTGTCACTTCAGAATCTAATCTTATTTGGCTTGCACAGGCTACGCTAATGGACAATGTAGAAATAAGATGATATGGAACATCAACTATTTTTGCATATTCTTCCGTTACTTCATAATTAAGCGACATAGTTTTAGTTTCTTCAAAAATTGTTGTAATTTGTTCTGCAACAGCTTGACACATTGGGTGTGTTCTTACAAATTCCTTTATTTCTAAACTAGATAAGGCAACTTCTTCCCTAAACATATCAGGTTCTTTAAAAGCAACTTCGACGTAAATTACATTTATTTGCATTGCCGTTGATGTACCTACTGATAATGCTATTTCAAATATATTTGGTTCTATGCAACCAAAACCTTGTTCTGCTTTAATCTTTTCTACTTCATATAAATTAATTTCCAGTAAATTAGTAATAATCGTTTGAGCTATTGCGGTGCATATACCCTTCGCCGTTGTAAATATTTCTTTTACGATGTACGAGTCTGCTTTCTCTTCTTGGATTATTTCACTCTCTATACTTTGAGCTTCATTATATATTGTACTAGTTTGTCTTATTAACGATGTACATAATGGGAAGGCTGTTAATAATACTTCTGGTTCAATACATATAGAACTAAATTCCTCTTTAGCCTCGTCAATCTCAAACTCATGGCTTTCTTCTCCATCAATTTTTAATAAATGGCCGATAGCAGTACACATCGAAAGTACTAATGGCGATTCTTTAATTTCTTCTCTACATTCTGCGTTCCCTTCTTGAAAGCGTTCGCTTTCCATGAATTCTACATCAATGTAGTTATTGCTTAGTTGCCTTATGAGCGGAATAGCAACTGAATTAACTGTAACTAAAACTTGCGGTTCATAACTTATAGTAGCCAATACATTTTCGATATCAACTGTTTTAAATGACAGGGTTTCTTCTGTGTCTGTGCTTATGTCTTCACTCGTTGCGTAAACTATACAAAAAGTCTTCGAAAATTCTCTATTTTCTTCATAGATGCTGGCTTTCTCTATTTCAAATCTATCTAATTTGATAGATTCCACTTCATCAAAGTGTATAGTTATATGCATAGCTACGGGCGTACAAACTGAGTAAGCCATTACAAGCTCCATTTTTTGGTAACATATGATAGCTACTTCTTCAACAATTTTGTTAATTGAAAAATAATCATTTTCTTCAAAATAAACTGAAAAATAGCGCATTGCAGCTTCATTTAATAGTTCAGTTCTCTTACAATTAGTTACGTCAAATACAGTTTCTTTACAAAGAGCTTGTGCTTTACTTAATTCTTCTGCTTCTAAACTAAAACATGGTGTATCTTCTGCGACATTGGTAATAGTAATAGTGTTATTTTGTATATCTTCGAAAATTACACTTGTTTGTCTAGCGGTTGCTTTATTTAATGCTTGAAATTTATTAAGTTCTTTAATTTCTATAACTGGAATAGCTACTTCTTCCTTTACATTTATGTATTCAGTTTTGTTTGCTGAAGATGTTTCTATTTGTGTAATTATTTGTGTTGGAGTGTTTTGTTCTATAATTTGAGCTGCTTTTAATTCACTTATCTCTAGAGATTCTTTTGCTTGAAGAACGTTCGTCTTGGTAACTGTTGATTCAATGGTTTCAATTGCTTTTAATTCATGCAATTCTAAAGTCCGTTCAGTGGCTTCCTGTTTAATCAAATTATTATAACTTTGTTTTGTTTCAGAATTTTCCAAGGTTGTGGTTATTTTTGTAGTAGCTGTTTTCCCACCAGCTTGTACTTCAATGCCTTCATCTATTGATTGTTTTACTTCTGATATAATACTTTCATCTTCGTTTTCATCTGAAACTATTGGAAACTTTTTATGTTCAACATTTACAGTAGCTACGTAATCAGCCCTTATTACATCTGGTAAGACCATTGGGGACTTTATATCCATACTTTTGGACCTTTCGGAGGTAGCTGATACTACGTTATTAGAACCTGTTAATTCCGAATTTTGAGTGATTTCTACGTTTGAAAAGTATTTGTCAGATATTAAATTTCTATTAGTAAATACGTGCGACTCTACAATGGCAATATATGTCAAACTATCCGTTGGCTCAGATTTAAATTTCCGGTAATCATTATAAGACCTTACATGATGATCAAATGTTTCACGACTTTCCGATACTCTTCTCGCAGCCTGTATAGTTGCAAGTTTAATTTCTTTTTTTATTTGTTCCCTTTCTTCACTATCCATTTTTGTAAGCCATTCGAGGGGATCAGTTTCTTTAATCTCTACTTCCTCGATGTTACTGCTATTTTCTGACATTTTATTACAAAGTCGCATAGTGTAGTGAGAACCTCCAATATTTAGCTTTGTATGAAATTCTGATATTACAGTGTCCATTATTTGAGTTAGTTCTTCTGGCTTTCTTAACGACATTTGAGCCATTTCAGAACCGGACAACTTTTTTTTCTTAAAATTAAAGCTTCTGTATCATTTTCCCCATAAGCCGAAGACAAATATTTCTCATCTAAATGTTGTTTCAGAATATTCACGTCGTTTTTATTGCCCCTACAGTTTTTATAAAAATAATTATTCGACTGCCTTGATAGTTGTATGAGAATATACCTAAAGAAAGCTAGTATGAAATTTAATAAATAAAAATAAAATAGTTTTATTAAAGAGCTGTGGACATGTGACGATTCTGCAATCTTACAAATGTGTGGGATCATTTGCGAACCTACTAAGAATGCTTTTCTTTGTGCTAATATCTTTGATTTCATATTGCTTACAAACTCTGTTCTTTGTTCTGTTTTATTTTTTAAATGACAACTATTCTTGGAAACTGTTTCGTCATTAAAAAAATCTTCTGATTTATAAGAACGAAAGAGCTTTTCCGCTTCATTTTCAAATTTAACAGATTTTCTTTTCACCGAGCCAACCTCAATGCTTTCATCAATCTCCTGCATTAAATACAACTTTCTTTCATCTTCCAAGTTATTTTCTTTTTGTAGATTATTTATTCGACAATCTGTGCCAATTCTTTCATAATGTTGTACGGATTCATTAACTGATTTAGACAAGATATCTGCTTCCTCTCGTAATAGTTTCTTACTCGAAATATTATCTTGTAAAATGTTTAATTGTGATGGTGGAGGAGTACATAGTTCAATCGACTCAGTGTTGATCTCTTTAAATATTTCTTGCGCAACTGTTATAGCTTTTCCTATACTTTCGTTTACTATATTGTTTGCGGTTGATTGAATGCTGTCTGTGTTATTACAAACTTTATTATTAAAATCTTTGTTCTCGTACTTATTATTTTCTGTGATGAAAGTTATTGGCTCGGTTTTGATTTCTAATTGTGACTTATTGTTCTCAACTTTTTCCTCGTTTTCTACAAAGTTTCTTTTTATTTTCATTTCCCATATTTTCTTAATGATTCTGTCTTCTGTTTGCCTTCCATCAAACTTTTTACCTTCCGGATCATATTGTTCTGAAATGGGTAGTTTAAATTTGGTCCCTGAGTTTGCGTTAGTAATTGTATAGTCTTCAAATAAATTATGGTAAGAATTGGGTATGTTCCCGTGCAAATACTCATTATAAAGTTCTGTTGAAAAGGGTTGGAACTGTTTTGCAGAGGGAGATGTTGAAGACTTATCGGTTTCTCGTTCGGTTAAATTCGTAGTTTCGAGGAAGCGAGGTAGTCCTAAATATACCTCAGTGGGCTGCGATGTCTGGCCTGAAATTTCTTGGTCTATAGAGTCGATTCTCGGCTCTCTGTCGCCTAGAACCTGATTGTAGCGCCCACTGTAAAAAGCAAACACATTTTTAAATTATAAATTATTCAAATAAAATTTCTTTATCTTTTTAATTTAATTATGTTATATATTAATTTGATTTTATTAATTAATCGATGCTCTGCTCGTGGTTTTACTGCGTGAAAGTGACCGACATAACGGATTATTGAGCTGAAGTGGCAAGGGGCGGCCATATAGCTCGAAGAACCGATAGCCGATGGGGAAGAAAGGTTCTTGAATAGCAACCTCGATTGAATGATGACGATGATGATATTAACTAATATCCTCCAGATCGAATTTCGGTCACGGCGGCCTGCCTCAATGGAGACTAGCCATCGCCGCAGGACAGGATTATAGTGCACTATCACGCCTATCAAAATAATTCTCTATTTCCATTTTCATAATCTGATAGGACGGTAAACCGACACGACCGGAGAGATATCAGGCGCAGGACCAACGGCTTTACGTGCTTTTCGCGGCATGGGGTGAGACACCGCCAACTTCCTGATTCCGGCCAACTACCGAGAATTTCTTGACGGGAAAACTCAATAACTGCCTTTTTTGGTCCGACCTGGGATTCGAACCCGACACTTTATGATGAGCAATTGCGTTAACAGCTACTAGACCAACTAGGTTTATTAATAATAGGTTTATGAATCGCTAATAATTCTAAAATTATAAAAATTATCACCACATTATAATTAAAGTGTAGAGGTGGAGTTAGGGAATCCACTACCCAATATCATCCCGCGGGTGTCATAGGAGAGGACAGAAGGAAATTAAATAGGAGATGGAGCAGCAACATCTGCCTGATAACAACTCAAAAAGAAACATGTGTTCAGTTTACACGCGGTAGAAATGAATCCTTCAGAAAACCAAACTTCGAGAGAATGATACGAATGCAGAGTATCAGGGCCAGAATAATTGTAGGGTTCTTCTCTTCTTTCATAAAACACGTTACCTCCACACTAAGATTTTTTCCTGTATCGTTGGTGCAGTATTCATACATAAATTTTACAAGCGCAAACATCCAGACCCGGAACAATTACTTGTAGGCCATACAGTATGTTTGCACTGAGAATGTTTTCAAACAAATAGCATAAAATAAATCACACAATATGTTTTGTTGATGATGGCGTTCGCACTCACAAAAACTGTGTAAAATTTACAACAAATATTCAAACTTATCTGTCAAAATGACAATATTTCTACAAATTTGTTTTTAAACATTTTGTTTCTATAGTTATAAAGATATAATATAGTTAAAATATGTAATGTACAATAAACTCTCAAACATATTTCAATACAACATGTTCTTTAAAACAAAACCATGTTTTAAAGAACATGTTGTATTGAATTTTTTGTGAAAATCACGTCAGAGCAAACTCACGGATACAAATACTTGTTCCGTGTGGGATTCGAACCTGCGGCCCTTAGCGCTGCAACTCATTGCTAAGGCACTTCTCCACGGAGCCGTAATTATTCATAAACAATGTTTACTGTATTCTGTCTCATTCTCTCACAGGCTAAATGATATAGATGTACATTTTGTTATATATGTTTGTCTCTTTTTAGTGTTACTTTATCGTTTCATCGAATTTCAAATCACTACGATTCTACAGAAACTTATGTATATAATTACTCTAAGGAAGCTTTACTTCAAAAAACTACAGTTGCCAATTCGCTTGTCAAGCTTGTCAATGACTGATGTGAGATTATGGAGTGGCTCTTACGAGGCAATTTATAAGGGGAGGCCTATGCTACTGAACATAGGCAGTGTGTTTGTTAGGCTGTGACAAATAATGAATGAAGAAGTAAAATTTATTAAGCTTTGCAAGCTGATAATATATATATAAAAAAATATATATATATATATATATATATATATATATATATATATATATATATATTACCGCCGTTATCTCTTTCATTTGGGAAAAGGTAGCGTGAAGATTCTTCATGAGGAGCATCTGCTCTTCCTTTTCACGACTGAACCGCTCTTCCAACCGAGGAACAGGACTGTTCCTCCTTTCGGAATATATATATATATATATATATATATATATTATAGATTGCACTTAACCTTAACAAATTAGACTCTACAGCACGATATCGGACTATCGGATCATGATTAATGTAAATGTCATTACGTGGTAGAGCCACGCTGTAACTATATTGTGATTGTAGTATGAATTGGTAGCCTCGACCGGGGTAGAGCCACGCTCTCACAGAAAACCAGCGTAAAATAACAACAGCTTAATGCTGCTGTGTTTCGTATGGTGAGTGTAGAGAATCGGAGACCCTTTCTACTGGAAACGAGGTATTTGATCTTAGTCCTCAAAGGTGACAACGCATCTGCATTTTGAGAATCAAAATGATTCTTAATCGAAGGTAAATGTAGATGTCAATGTGTAACAGCATCCACTTACCATCAGGTGGACTGTGTGCTCGTTTGTCAGCCTTAACGTTCTACATAGGATAAAACACAACACCAATAAAATAATAACTACATCATATAGAACACATAAGCACAACAGTTGATACAAAAATAAAATAATACATAAAAATAAAATAAAAGTAAATAACAACAGTCATAAATGATCCAATTGATGATGTGATCAAAAGCACTCTCCAATCTATCGCAGATTCTACTTTTCAATCAATGGGAAATAAAACATATAGATATTTATATTATACTATGAAAATATAATATAATGCAGCTATTTTATCCGCCCTAAATGTTAACGTGACAAAAATATTCTATATATGAACAAGACAGTTCAATTGTTTCTCTTTCATATGTAGACGGGTTAAAATTTATTTGTTTTTTATCTAATGATTAAACAAATAAGCCCCAAATTAGGATTATTATAACATAATCTTGCTTGTGCTGCCAAACACAAGCAAGATTATGTTGAAGATTATTTGCTTAAAAGGAAGCTGCAATCACTTAAAATTGTATTTGGCTTATAGTTACCGTAATAAACTACAGTGCAATCACCATATAACAAAACTGAAGGGAATTAGAAAATATACGTTATACCAAGTAAAATTCGTTATAATAAGATTCGGTATATCGAGGTTATGTGGGACTACGATACGTTTTATCAAGGTTTTACAAGGTTTAACGTGTCTGACCTGTCAAGACGTGATTTATTGTGGAACTAAGTGGAAATAATTAAAAGGATAAGTTATGTCAAGTTCCAAGTTGAAAATATTCGTTATATAGAGGTAAATAATACCTTCTATCTATATTCTACAATAATTAAGAATTCATAATAAGTGTTCGTAATATAGAGCTATATTTTGCATTAGCTCTTACGGGCACTTCTAAGGAATTTCGAAAAATTCGTTATAGCGAGTAATTCGTTATATTGAGGCTCGTTATATCAAGGTTACACTTTATTTTGTAATTTTTGTGTTATTTAATTTTGTATTGTATTTAATATTATTATTAGAAATATGTTCAGCAATAAATTTTTAAAAGTCTGAACTAGAGTGCAGAGCAGCACAGTGTGGTAACAACTAGTTCCGAGCTGGTCTAGAACCCACGGGCCCGCAGCTCCATAACCAAATACTAACACGTGGTACTGAACCATTAATAAAATATGTGTTTGAAACCAAATTTGAAAAAAATTAAACAAGTGGTAAAATTAAAAATTTTGTACAACCGACGCGTCGTCAATATAATTATAATAAGTGATCAAATAAAAACGGATTTTAATACGACCGAAATAATGTATTCGAAATCAATTAAATACACATTATTAAAGATAACTCAAAAACTACTGGTCAGATCTTGATCATATTTATATGGGACCACACGAGAAGCACCAGCTTTCAGATAAAAAGAATCATCAAAGTGGTGTCGAATACGTCCTCCTTTATGAAGTCGATCAAAAATATATAGTAAAGGAACCTTAGCAATCTATATTTTTATATTAATAATTCCTGGGGATGACAACGTATTATGCAACCTTATTTGTATAAGATTCGCTGCATATATTCATAACTGACTAACGGACTATTACTTACTATCAGGTGAGTTAAAAGCCTGTATGTCACTTTCCGGTTTATAAAAAAAAACTATAGTAAAAAAGTAAAATTTTACATTACATCATAATTATATCGATACGCTCTTGAAATCACTATAGCGAGTAACGACACGTCACTTTTATTCTCACAGCTCATTCTCAAAATGACCGGGTTATAATATCGATTTTAATAACACTATTACGATTATCTTATTTAAAACTGTTTTATTGGTACCACGTTACATCGACTATGTTCTCTTAGTCTTATTTAAGCATCAAGGACTATCTAACTGAACAATCAAGGGCTAAAAGAATTATTTTCGAATACTCAGTTGATTCCAAACAGAAAAGTGTGGGTGACTAGTGTCAAGTGCCAAATATGCGGAAATACTATGCTGTCATTATAATATCATCAAACGGTCAAACCGTCCAACTAAAAACAATTCTATGCAAAAAGGAACCTTAAAACCTATAATTTTTCTACTCCATCAGCTCGTTAAAGTCCAAACTGGTTATGGTCTCTCAATTGTGGACAGAATATATCTTAATCATCACACTTGGTAGGTGGATAGACATTCGCAGTACCTTCCGTCAGCGGTTTGGGTATTTACGCCTGCCGTTAACCGGACGATATACCGCCATCTATCGGAAATGATATGATTTTCCACCATTTCACATAGTCGCATCTTACGACACTCATGGAACGAAATCAATATCAAAAGTTTACAGTTGAACATAGGCACTCCCATAAATAGACCCCATAACAGAAACAGAAACTTTTTTATTCAATATAGATTAAGGTACGTGAAGGTAATGTAATAATGTAAAGCAAAACTTGGAGGAACCAAATCTATTTTTTTTATAGGATAGGGTGACAAACGAGCACACACTCCACCTGATGGTAAGTGGTTGCTGCGGCCCATAGACATCTACATCTATCCTCGATTGCAAATCAAAATGCATATGCGTTGTCACCCGTGAGGACTAAGATAGAATGCCTCGTTTCCAGTAAAAAGGGTCTCCGGTTCTCTACACTCACCATATGAAATACAGCAGCATTATGATATATATATATATATATATATATATATATATATATATATATATATATATATATACTATAACTACTTACACTACTACACTGTAACTATTATATTAAGAAAAAAATAGCAAACAATCTTTGGCAATAATTAGGAACACTTCGAAAAATCTACTTAAAAAAACTAACTTCTTACACAATTCTAAAATCGACTAAAATATTAACTATAATGTCAACTGTCAAAATGGCGTCGGTAAAGCAGCGCCCTTTTGACCATTTATTATTTGATTGACCTATAATAAGCTATCGTATCTCAAAACCATCCATGCAAACAAGGCTGTAGTTTTTGAGTTATAATAAAGTGACCATATTAACCGGAGGACCATAGTACCCTCGCGTAGGTACTATGTAAGTAATACTTATTGAAAGTCACGCTTATGTTATAATTTACCACTTGTTCGAAAAATACCTCTGTCCTGGGAAGAACCAGCATTAAACCCAGTGGGACTTTTTTTTGAAAAATATAACAGTTTACAATAATACATTATGCTACACAATTAACTGCACAAAACAAATTAGAAACAGCTTGGTAACGATCATCTTATCCACAAATAAGAGTTATTATCATCGATAAAAAGGGATATTTGCCATTGTGCCACGCTTGCAAAATTTTCAGAGACTGTTCATACTAAGTAATATAGGCAAATGGTGAGAAAAAATTAATTAAAAAATCTCAAACGTTCTGGCCTTTTTATCTCTTAAATTTAAAATGCATGGCAATGCATTATTTTAACTGATTTTACTAGGCACGCACACATTCTTAAGGGTCCATAAATAACATTCAATTTGGGATAATATAAAATAAAAGTAGAAGCCTTATTTACTCGTATTTTCAAAAACTGCAATAACAGTATATCATTATTTATATATTTGAACTTTAGTTTAAAATATGGCTACTCTGTAAAATAACCCTGAGTAATAGAGTAAATTCAGTTTTTAACTATGAATTTACTGTGAGTATTATCTATAGGTTTTTCTTTTTAGTCTTAGTATATAATCATTGTTAAATATTTGATAATATGATTAATTTTATTATACATTAAACCGGGCCATTTTTCGACTTCCTTTCTTTTTTTAGTAATGGACCTTTCAAGTATTATGCCCGTGTCAAGTATTATAAAATTATGCTATATAATAATTTGCTTAAAAACTTCTTTACAAAAAACTTCTACACGATATGTTGATGCGTCACATTGCGAAGTTTCTGGGGGATTTTGATGGTAACTTGAATCAACGGACAGTCGATGACAATAGTATCTCAAGGTGCCTAAGCAGACACAATAACTTGAGGTCATATCACCATCGGAGCACTTGTATCAGTTTTCACTAACAGTTGATTGCATAGGCATGTAATACACAAAATCACAGTAGTTATTCTTATTAAAATTCACTTTAACCTATTTTATAAACAATAATACAAGACCAGCAATCCACAGAAGGTTAATTTCCCGCCAAAACTCCGTTCAAACACTTACAAAAATAATATATATATTATATTTTTGACTACAAAAACAACACTATCAAATATTCACTGGCACTCTATAATTTAAAAAAAAAACACTCACTTATTTCTATAGACCAAGTGAAACTTCATGGTGACATTTCCCGAACGTGATAAATTAAAGACCTCGTTGAATGAAAATTAATTCGTTAATGTCATGTATATTATTGATACATCGATCAACATGTTATTCAACCCTCTACAACTGTATCTACTATCTACACGTGCCTATGTTCACGGTAATCTTAGTTATAATTAGGGATCCTCATTAAAATTCAATAAAAATTTAAACGTGGTAGAGCCACGCTACAGCTATATTATCACTATAGCTCGAATGGGTCGGTTCAAACGTGCTAGGACCACGCTGTCACATAATACCAGTGTTTTGTATGGTGCGTGTAGAAAACCGGAGACCCTTTTTATTAGGTAGGAGACATTCCATCTCAGTCCTCAGGTGTGACAACGCATCTCCATTTTATTTCCTAATTGATAAATGTAAATGTCTACTAGACGCAAAATCCACTTACTAATGGTGGCCGCTAGCTTGTCACTCATTTATATATAAAACTAGCTTGCCAGGTAGACGTTGTTCTGTCCTTTTCGACGACCCTTTGTCATGTCTTATTAAAAACACTTAAATTCGTAAAAAATGTGGGTCACTCATGGGTAAAAAAACTATCCTATCTCTCAAGTTGGACCAAACTGCACACGGTGTGCAAATTTGATTAAAATCGGTAAAGTAGTTTAGGAGTCCATCGCGGACAAACAACGTGACACGTAATTTATATATATTTAGATATACATCTGCTAACCGTTGTAAGTATGGGTCAACCCTTCCGATATAACTTAAACGGATTAATGAACTTAACTAAGCTTCGCCCACATTTGAGGCGATTATCCGCATGCTCCATCGTGGGAGTGGTGATCAGCAATGCCACAACTGACAGCATTTTTTTTAATTAATCAAACACCACAAACGAACACATAACATTGGTTCTATCCTCGCCGTTCTTTTATAAAATTGAAAGTGCAAGACTGGAAAAAAAATAAAAAAAATGATTGCATCATAAGTGGGATTTTGCAATAGTTGCCACGCTTGACAAACGGGTTTTTTATTGTTTTGAGTTGTTATCAGGCAGACGCTGCTGCCCATCTACCGTTTCATCTTATAGTCCATCTGATGATAAGTGGTTACACCAGTCCATAGAAACCAGTCTACTTCAAACCAAATAAAGCTACAGATGCGTTGTGCCCTCTAAGAACTAAGGTGAAATGCCTCACTATCTGTAGTTATACTGACTCTTCATACCCAACAAATCGTGACATAGTAAGCGAACTACTGTTTGGCGACAGAAATAGTTAAGAAGGTGACTGCTTTCTTGGTCTAGTGGTTGTAGTAATGCGACTGCTGATCATGAGGTCCCGGGTTCGAATCCCGGGTCAGCACAAAAAAATATCGGTTATAGTGTTTTTCGTAAAGAAATTCTCAGTAGCTGCCCGGTGTAAAAAAAGTTGGCGGTATATCACCCCCGTACCTCGGAAAGCACGTAAAGCCGTTGGTCCTACGCCTGATCTCTCACCGGTCATGTCCGTTTACCGTCCCCACGGAATATGAGAGTGAGGGAATAGAGAGTGCACCTGTGCTTGCGCATACACTGGGGCACTATACTCGTAATCCTGTCCTGCGCTGATGGCTAGTCTCCGTTGAGGCAGGCCGCCGTGACCGAAATTCGTCTGGAGGACATTATTGTTAGTTAAGGCGGTGATACCTAACAAGACCGGCTCTAGACAGAAAAGGATTCTTACCTAGTATAGTAGTAGCAGTGCAATTGCTAATCCGTTTGCTAAACGTTACAATAACAATAAATCCTTTTTTATAGAATAAAGGTGACATACGAGCACACAGCCCATATGATGGTAAGTGGATGCTTTGGCCCATAGACATCTACATTTATCACCGATCAAAAATCAAAATGCGTCGTCACCTCTGAGGACTAAAATAGAGGGCCTCGTTTCCAGTAAAAAATGGTCTCCGGATCTCTACACTCACCATACGAAACACAGCAGTATTACGCTGCTATTTTACGCTGGTATTCTGTGAGACCGTGGGCCTTCCCCGGTCGTGCCGACCCGTTCGTGCTAAAACCATAAAATAGCTGCAGCGTGGCCCTACCACGTATCATCTCTTTAAACCGAGCACCTTGTCCTAAAATGAACACTTACTGGCTGTTAAAGTAGCTAACTTTCAAACCTTTGTTTTAGTTTAGTTTCGGATAAAACTTTGTAGGTGGTGGTAGGATCCATTTACTGCGCAAGAGTCCGTCTGTGTAAGCACATACAGATAATATGGAGCATAGATGAGCCACTCTGACAAATTATTAGGTGACAAAACGCGGGAAGTTTCTTCTGCGATGTCATAGATGGAACGAAACATACACTAGTAGGCGCTATCAACTACGTTTAGTATTATTCCGTACATTTTAATAAAATTGAAAGTGATATGTTTTTAATTGGAAACATACTCATTTGTATGATATAATAAATTTTTATTTTCATTTGCTTAAACAAATAATTATGGCTTAAATTGCTACGATGCTCCTTTTAGAGTTCTTTAATATATATTCCGCAGTATTTGAAAATTTTTATAGCGTGGTTTACACTTCGGTATAATTAATAAATGTCAGCAATGACGCCATCTATTGAATACAATGTGTAAATTATTGGGGAAACCAGTGTTTGTACTCCTTTGTTCTGGTCTAATAAGTTTAGATAACCAGTGTATTTACAGTCTGCGAGGCATTTCATCTAAGTCTTCAGAGGTGACAGCGCATCTATGGCTTTCTTTGATTGACGTTGGGTACATGTGTCCACAGTACACAGTAGCCGCTTACCATCACGTGGTCTGTAAATTCGCTTGTCACCTAAACTTTATTTAAATAAAATAATGTCCCTACTGAACCCAAAATTGTTTAAAATGTTTCACGCTTAAAAACGATGAATCATCCCACGATTTTGGCCACAAATTTAGCATCGACGTCTGGCAGTGATTAAGACGTCGTGTGACACCAATGTGATCGAGACAGTGATTGGTAATGACCGTTGCCACAAATACTACTTAATCTGCTGCAATTAATCTGTCGATTAAAAAAATACTTTTAATAAAAAGGCAAAAGCTAACTTCAAGCAACTAAAAATCTCACGCTGAAGTTCAGTCTTATAAAATACAATATTAATGGATTAAAATTATTGGTTCTAGATATATTGCATATTGGAATTAAAGCACCGACTTTACATTGTAAAATTATTTTTTTTTTGTTTAAGTCAACTTTTTCTTTTTATCAAAACTATTTTTTTTACCTTTCGAGTGAATTAAGGAATTACATTATCTGAAAGTCGTCTAGAGAATTCCATTAAAATCTTTAACCCTATTTTGCCGCACATAGAGATTATTTTTTCTCCAATTTTATAAGAGCGTCCTTCAATTATAAACTTAAAAAAAAGAGTCATTAAAATAAGTTCACAGTTGACGAACATCGCGAAGGTAGAAGGAAATATAGTCGAATTGCTAACCTTCTTCTTCGTCTTTTGAACACAGCTAAAACGTTCCTCTAAAAACTCTAAATATCTAAATCTCACTTTTGGACGCAGATCTTCAAACACTATATATATCAACAGTAGCCTAATAAAATTTAAAAAAAATAGGAAGTTGAATGATGCTGGTAGTGTATTGTTATGGTAATGGTACGGTATGGTGTAGTGCAAGTCCTGGGCAATTTTCAGTTTTATTTGTCCCCCATATTGTAATTTACATAGATAACATAAAGTTCAATAAGCTACGTTACATTTACGATATTAAATGTAAATAAGCTATATAAAAAAGTAAAAAAAACAAGAGTTTAGAGTTAAGACGACACCCCGACCATAACCTTGTTTTTCAGAGACTATTATCTCATTAGTTATGAGAAATAAACTAAATCTAAAAGCACATTATTAATGTACGATATCCTATCATCACATTCCACGTTCTAATTTTTTTATGTGTTATAAATACATTTAAAATCTACTTTTAAAAAATGACTAAAGTTATTGATTACATGTTCCTAAAGGCAACGCTCTAATCTTTCGAAGATTACGTTAATTAATAAATAGCTTAAAAATCTATATTATTCACGTTTTATTTAATTTCTTAAGGTCGCTTTTCTTTTTTAATTAAGATAATTCCAAAATTTGGGCGTATTTCCTACGAGATATATTGTAGCGACAGCGCGTGGATTGTATAGGACCGAACGCTCAAGGTCGTTCGCTAGAGGTAACGCCTTAAGGTTTGCCGTAACGCTTCGGCGTTTAAAATTTGTATATAAATTAAACATAATAATTTACTATTTTTTTTATATAGTTTAGGGAGACAAACGAGCACACAGTCCACCTGATGGTAAGTGGTTGCTGTGGCCCATAGACATCTACATCTATCATCGATTACGAATCCAAATGCAGATGCGTTGTCACCCGTGAGGACTAAGATAGAATGCCTCATTCCTAGTAAAAAGGGTCTCCGGTTCTCTACACTCACCATACGAAACACAGCAGCATCAAGCTACAATTTCACGCTGGTATTCTGTGAGAGCGTGGTCCTTTCCCCTGTGCCGAGTGCTACAAATATTCTACTTATATAACTGCAGCATCGCTCTACCACGTATAAACTAGCTTGTCTGTCAATTTTAAATATTCATATAGCTTGTAAATAGTTTAACACCAATATTAATATGACCGTGTAGTGACATTGTAAGAATATCCACCACCCCAAATCCCGTGGGTGTCGTAAGAGACGACGAAGGGAAACAAACCAGGAGATGGTCGGCAGTACTCGTATCTTCCCTATAACAACTAGAAAATTAAAAAACTGCAGTTGCCAATCCGCTTGCCAAGCATGACAACTATTGCAAATATTCCACTTATGGGCTATTAATGGGGGAGGCCTGTGTAATCTGCTGTGGACTTTAACGGGCTGTATGAACTAGCGCATCCACGGCGGACACTTAAAAACGAGGTGTAATATTTGACGGATTTCAACGCGGGGAAGTTAATTTGTTCGA